TGGATTTTTTTTCAAACRGATAACCTTTGTAAGAACATGAGGAGTACCAGGAACATGTACAGGTGTTTTCAACAAACCCACAMAATTAATCTGAGTGGGGCAGGAGATTTTTGTCTTCTGGAAGTAGCCAGCAATTCTCTCCTCTGTGAGCTTCAGGGCTCCCGTGGGGCAGCCTGTCCTGCACCCATTGCCCTCCCAGCTCACGTAATCAGCCTTCCACCCAGGCAAAAAGCAAAAACTTCCAAATTCGGATGCTGTGACAGATAAAGGAGGTGACTGCCCATCCCACATTTCTTCTTTTCTTATTTTTGCTTCCTCTTAGGAATCCCAGATTTTGAACTCCAGGYTGCAGGGAGCAAGGAGGAGGGCGCCAGCACAGCCACTCTGCTGCCTGGTACAGGATGTGTCCTCAATGGATTTGGACTCCRAGTTTTTCTGTCACATTGATGATGTCAAGCTGGAGCTGGGGAGAAGGAGATTTCATCCCGCCTATCCTGATTTATTATCTATTAAGTGATGATGGTGTCTTCTGGATCCATCTCACTAAACTCCTTTCTGCCCTCCTTGAAATTCACTGCCATTGGAGACAGATTTACCACTGACTTACAGGGCTTTAAATGATAAAAATACTATTTGTAAAGATTCAACCCCCCACTTGACATCATATCTATGCAGGGCATGAAGATATYATTAAGTGAAGAACAATTCAAATCTCAGGGTTTGTGAGTTTTTTTTATCTCATACCATAAGTTTTCTCACTTCTGTGTTYCTGATTCTCTCCCCCATCCCGCTGGAGAGGCAGTGAGAACTGTGTGATGGTTGGTTGCCAGCTGGGGTTAAACCACGATATATGTATAAAACCATAAATGCAGTAGATTTTAATGGGAATCCAAGGGAAGAAAATCAGYTGATAAGTCTCAGAACACAGTTTTACTCTCCTCCTTTTTAATTGGAAGACTACTAAGAAAACTCACTAAAAAAATCAAAGCTCTACTACACTAAACACATGTAAATAGCACACAGCTCTCACCACAAAGCTGTGTTTGTGAGTGGATTTTAATTTTAAATAGGTGCAGAGCCTACTGTAGAAGCAATAAAGCAGATTTGATAGTCACAGCCTTTGTCTGCACACACACAAATAAAACCTTACTGTGTCTCCTTCAGGGCAATGACTGAGTCAGAGWACTGAGGGAAAGCCTGTTTTCCTCTGCCCACTGTCCTCTGCTCTTGCTGTGCAGCAGAACTCCCTGAGAGAGAGGCAGCAGAAGCTGTTGGTGGGGAGGAGGGAACTTCACAAATTTTATTTTCTGGAGTTATGATGGGAACAATGCATTAATTACACKCAAAGCAACGAGCCATCAGCAGACTGGCCTCTGAGGGAGGCTTTGGTGTTCATCAGGGTAATGAAGTATAAATAAGCATTGTCATGATCTCTCAGCCCACCCACTGTGACTCCCTGCGGGGCAGCTCACCCATTTTGAGGTGGTTTGATGGGAGGAAAGCCAGGGACGTCTTCATTGTTCTTGGATTATTTCATGTCCCATACACAGAACATTTCTCTACTGCTCCACATTTCCCCTGGCTGGGTGGGTGTGCTGGTGGYTCCTGACCTTCTCAAAATAGGGGAAAAATGGGAAAAAATATGGAAAACCAAGAAAAGAATGAAGAGCCTGCTGAGCCTGTGACTCACTCCTTGCTTTGTCCGCTGACAGACCCTCAAAAACACAGAAGGGCTCTGTGTCGGTGGTGGGAGTGAGTGGCTTTTTGGGGTTTAACCACCCCAAAAAAGGCCTTTCCAAAGTCACAGTGAAGGACTTTCTGTGAGCTGCAACAGCTGGTGACAGAGCCACACTRAGTGGAACAAAAGCAGCTCCAGGGTCTGCAGCAGTCACCACAGGGCCCAGCACCTCTCAAAGCCAGCACAAAGAAAATTTGCTGTGTCTTAAAGGCCTTCTTCCTCGTTATTTGGTTARCTTGGTTCCTCAGACAGGGTTTTAGCATAATTTTTGACTTCTTCCAAGCCTTTTTCTACAAAGAAATGCAACGACCTGCTGCCTCCTCCTCTCACATTTATGGCACTGCAGATAAATGTAAGCACTGCGGTCCTGCTGTTGGTTGAAGGAAATGCAACAAGAGCCTAATCTTACAGGAGGAGGGAGAAAACAATCTTAATATTCTATTTCTCGTGACTTTCAAGAGAGTAAGTGCTTTTAGGAGGTAGCCAGCTAAGGCTAACATTYGGTTTATGCTTCAGGTGTTGTGTTAAGGAAGCACTGACGTTTGGTGGCAGAAGWAAACAGCCCTGGAGAAAAATCCCTTCCTTAAAATCCTAACCTTCATTTTAAAGAAAAATATTGATAAATAGATGCATCTAATTCACTGCTCTGTGTGGAGACAGATTGAATGCAACTTCTACTTATTCTGTTATCACCCARGTCAGTCCATTATTGTTTTAGGGGTCTGAAGTGTTTCTTCTGCCTCCAACTTCTTGCCATCGTTTCCTTTGGGTTTTCTGACTGTGGCATTTATTTTTGGCCTCAAATATGCTATGAGTGTTAACTCTGAAGATATTCTCTAACTCCTCTGGCACCATTATCTGTGCCAGGGCCTCACCACCCTCACAGGCAACAATTTTCCTCCCAATGCCTGATCTTACCCTGCTCTGTGCCTGTTTGAAGCCATTCTCCCTCGTCCAGTCACTCTAGCCCCTGGTGAACAGTCTCTCTCCATCTTTYCTGTTGGCTCCTTCAGGTACTGGAATGGAAATCAGGTCTCCCCAGAGCCTTCTCCTCCCCAGCTCTCTCAGCTTTCCCCTGTGTGAGGTTGTGCCCTGTCCCTCTGATCACCTTGGTGGCCCTAATCTGGATTTGTGTTCACGAGAGTGCTGCAGGAAACTCACAAAACTGGAAATATTCCTCGGCAGTGACGCTTCCCCTGCATTTGCCATTTACAAAGAAGAAGGGAAGATRTGTGGCTGTGTCTTCCCACACAATCCAGATCTGAAATTAAAAAGTGGGCCCACAGCTACAGAAATAATTTTAACCACCCACTCCAGAGGGTTTCAGAGACAAATATACCCCTTCTTGAAGCTGCTCTTTCTGGTACACTGGGTGTCTGACCACAGGCACTATACCTGACCCAGCTGCCTCCCAGGCCAAGAAATGAAAAATCCCTTTGGATTTCAGTATTTTATTCCTAAACAGTTTGTGGGAAACCATCAGTGCCCTTGATTCATGTGCTCATATTTATCGTCCTTGTCTCTAGTGTGGCACAATCGGACRTGACTTTTCTTCCTTTTCTTCTCACTGGTTTTAAGTGGAAGCCACCAGCACAGCCTGTGGGTGTTAATTAGAAAAATTAAGATATCAGGTACTTGGAAGACCATGAATATTCAAACTGCAGCCAAGGCCCAGCCTTGTACCAGTTAATGCAGTCCCAGGAGATCTCTGCATGGAGCTGGCAAGATTGGAGCATTGCTTCTGCATCCCCTTGCCCTGGATTTGTGCAGTGCTGCCAATGGAGGAGGAATGGCCGTGGTGAGAGAGGACTCACAGAGGCAGAGATGGCTTTAGAGAGGCATCTTTTGCCACCTTCACTGGCAGAGGGCAAAATTTCCCCACTGTGATGAATTTCCACTCTGCAAGGGAGCTCCTACAGCTCTGTCCATGTCAAAAGTGCTGCATTTTAATTCCAGCACAGTGCTCAGAGCTGCCAGAAAACCACCGAGCTGCACTTCAGCCCAGGGGCTGATTTATGGCTGCATCTCTGCCAAATGCCATGGAAAAAAGCCTTCCTAAGACTGGATCAGTGAGCTGTGATGGAAAACAAAGCTGCCTCATTGGACCTCCAACCTCACACAAACAGCAWRGAGTGATGTCCAGGGAAGGGAACRGAGCTGGGGAAGGGTCTGGAGCCCCAGGAGYGGCTGAGGGAGCTGGGAAAGGGGCTCAGYCTGGAGCAAAGGAGGCTCMRGGGGGACCTTGTGGCTCTGCACAACTCCCTGACAGGAGGGGACAGCCGGGGGATCGGGCTCTGCTCCCGACTGGACTGAACTGAACTGTCCAAGGCAGGGACACCTGCAGCAGGCGACATGGGAAGATGTCCAGACGGGTTTGAAAGTCTTCAGAAAGGYAGCCCTCCACAAATTTGGAAAAAGATGATATTATAGATGTATAATACGTGAGAAGATCTCCTAGGCAACTTCCAAAGCTCTTGGTCACTCGGGGCACAAGCTGAGTACAGGGAAGTTGCATTGCACAGTAATTTCTTGCACAGCCAGCTATCACTGCTTCCTGTGTTTATTGGTTCATGAGCACAATTTTGACRGCCTTTTCCATGCCATAATTATTATCTTTAACTCTCTTCTTTCACCCCKAAATAATTTCCTGCACTTAAGCATCATTATTCCTCCAGTTGCACAATTATGTCCATCTACGTATTGCCCCCTTAAAACCCATGCCACATTTGGGCATGAAGAACACAGTGTTGGATGCATCCTTTTGTATTTCTTTCCCCCCTCTTTTAAACAAAAAATAACAAGTAATGAAAGGAATAAACGCCCTCGTTGTTGACCTGTTACACAGCAGTCACCAAGATAAACCAAGCCAAAGGTAGCTTTTCGAAAAAAAAACGCTGGAGAAGGTTAAAAGGAATGCAGGTGAGTGAGCTGTTCTACCCTCAGCGGAAATGTCGAGGTGTTACTTACGGTGTTAAAGTTTATGTCACTCCAACAGGAGTTTGGAGGTATTTATATGGGTTGGAGATATTTATAGGGATTGGAGAATTTTATAAGGATTGAAGAGAAGGCCTCTCGGTCTCCTCTTCTCTAAATTGCAGAAGCCCAGCACGCCTGACCCAAGCAATGGGACCGGACCAGTCCGCTGACCGCTGCCCAGCCCCACGGCCGCCGCCCCGCCGGGACCGGGACTCGAACCCGCGGCCCCGGGGCGGCGGCGGGCGCGCAGGCGCGCGCAGGCTCGGTGCGCGCGGGGCGGGGCGGCGCGGGCGCTTATCCCCGGGGAGCGGCGGCGCCGGGAGCGAACCCCGCACCGCGCACCGCACCGGCCCTGCCGCGCACGGCGACATGGACGAGGAGCGGGTGAGTCCCCGCGGCCCGGCGGCTGCGGGCGGCCCAGGAGGCCGGCGGGGCGTTTACCGGGCGTGTCGGCGTTCCCCGGCGCTCGGCCTGTGGGCAGGGGCTGTGTGGGAATGGCAGCGGCGTGGGGGAGGGATGCTGGCGGGSTTCTGGGCCACCCCGAGTCTGCGTCCCTCTTGGATGTGCGTGTCTCTCTCTGGAGACATTCCAGCCCCACCTGGCCGCGTTCCGGTGTCACCTGCTCCAGGTGACCCTGCTTTGCTGGGAGCGTTGGACTGGGGGGTCCCCGGGGGTGCCTTCCATCCCTGGCTGTTCCGCGGCTCAGGAATGGAGAGCTCCAGCGGTGCAAGAGCTCTTTCACTCTGTTTATTCCTGTCATAAGTAATTATGGTGCGTGCATAAGCCCTTCTGTTTGCCATTGATGTAATCTAGTGTTGAAGGGAKCTAATGCGTAAAAGGGTTTTGTGGGGGATTTTTTTGTTGTTATTTTCTTTCTTTTAAATATTTTTTTTTTTTCTGTAGTTGCAGCCCTGTAATTCCCTCCTTCCTTTACTTGCGGTCAGACCCTTCAGGGAACTAACTGAAGAGCAGAGATGTGTCCACCCAAGCATTGGGGCTTTCCAAAAATGATAGCCCCTGCAAAAAGTTGTGACTCAGCCCCTTGGCTTCCAGTCTGTCAGTGCAAAAGRTCTCCTCTTACTGTGTTCTGTGGACAGTGTGCTTTCCTCAGCTTGGGAACRCGTTTGGGTGTGTGGGGCCTGAGTAGTTTAGTGCTGATAATGGYGTGGAATTTACAGATCAGTGTAATTTTCTCGTGCTGAAGCCAAGCCCCAATTAGCTGAGAAATTACTAGGGGAGTTAACGCTGTCCCAGCCACAGCAGAACTTGGTTTGAGTTTACCAACGGCTTCAACAAATGCAGCTCCTCATCCTAAGCAAGCAACACTCTGAATCACACAATGCTGTAATTCTGTATAACTCATTCTGTTTAAAACTTATTTATGTAAGTAGTTAATACAATCTCTGAACGCATGCTTTGAAAAGTGAGATGTGTAATAGCATAAGTGTGCTTTTGGAAGAAACTGTGAGTTTGAGTCTGTCTGCCTTTGCCTGCTTTTTTTGTGAGATTTATCCCTCTGAGGGAGGAGTAGATGAAGGCTGCCCCTGTTGTGAGTGCTCCACATGGATGTTTCTGCACATTGGTCATATTTGAATTCCRGAGGTTCTGAATACAGCAGTAAAATTGCAGTGGATCTTGTATCTTACTTTCTCTARCAAGAGTTAATTTGCTAATGTCACCTGTACTATACAATATTGTCCTTCAAACTCTGGCAACTTCACTATGTTGACAAGTGCAGGAGATTAAATTAATGGAGGCTAAGTAAGCATGTCCTCCTTGAAATTTGATCTGAATATGAAGGTTATAATGTCTCGTGATTTTGTCCTAGGCCTGGGACTGCTTCAGGAACTGTTCTGCATGCAGGCAGCTCATGAGCCTTCAGCATGATCTTGAGCAAGTTCATAACTTGCATCTTATACAGAGCAGCTGTGATAGTTTAATTTATAAAAATTTAGTTTTTATGAGGTGCCTGTTTGCTTAAAGAGGCCCTAAGTCATGTTAATTACTCACTCTTTGAATGTGGGGGTATTGTTTTTATACACCTGGCAAGGCTACAAACTACATGTCTTAGGGTTTCCCATCCTTTTTCCTAAGCCTTTTTTCTCTTCATCCTTTGCACACCCACACTCTTGCTTTACTGATGGCCTGAACTTTTTTTTGTTGTTTTTTTTTTCAGCAAAGTGCATTAGCTTCAGTGACTAAGATTAGGACACAAAAGGAAAGAGCAGCATGAAGCTCACTGACAGCAGCAAAAATGACCCCTGTAATAAACATTCCATAATGCTTTGAAAATCCATTTGAAASCGACCTCACAGTGAGGTCAGACAGAAAGCTCAAAGAAAATTGCTTGTAACAGAATTCTGTGAAATACTGCATCTAACAGTGGGCAGTAGAGTTAAATGTCCTTTAGTGCAGAAGTACCAAGAAACTTTACTGGGCTAAGTGCTACTGTAATTCTTCTATGAACTTATATAGAATGTAGGCCTTGTCTGCTGCTTGCATCAGTAATTTTTCTAGAAAAACCTTTGTTACATGAAATTACAGTGATTTTTTTCAGAAATTCCCACTAAAGGTAGAAAYGGCGACATTGCAGTGTATTTTTAATTTGGTATGTGTCATGTGTCTGGAAAGAAATTTATTTATTGCATATTAATGATTAGAAAATTACGTTGGAAAATAGGGTAAGATAGTGGTTCCCAAAAGCTACCTTTGTGTTCTGGTGGCTTGTGTGTTGGTGTTTTAGAAAAATTCTGCCTGCTGTTGGTGGATAGTTTTAAGGGGCATTTAAACTCATTCAAATTTGACCAAACCTGGATGAATTTCTTTGCAGAGAAATTGGTAGCTTACTTAAAAAGGGCCACACCAACCCACGTTTAGCCAGTGAGATGTAACCTTAGGTGAAAATCTTGTTCAACAGCTGGCTTCCAGTTGCTGCCATGTGTTTGGCTGTGTAAAGGCCTTTTATTTAAAATGTGGATAGTTTCCTTTAATCATAATGTAACTATAAAACCAAACAGCATTGTTCAGCACTACACACAGGAATACTTTTTCCCCATGTGTTGCAGCTGAGTAAGCCCTAAGATCTGTGCTGAAAGAGGATTGTGAGTTTTCTGTGTTCATCCAAATTGACAGTTGTGCTCATAGGATCTAAGGCTTATCTCCAGGCTATCTGGCCTGTGAAAACTATTGCCTCTGGTCAGTAGTGAATGCAGAAGCAGCTGGCTGGACAATGGCTATTCATCTGGCATTCTGATGTGTACAAAATTGCCTTTAAACGTTCTCAGCTCTCACCAGACAAGGAAAAGGTTCAGTAATGAAGTGRTCCAGATTTTCTGTGGCTCTGTTTCTGAAAGCAGCCAAAGTCTTGTTTCTGTTGCCCACAGTCCAGACCTGAGTCATTGCTGGCTGCTYGGTTACTTCTGTGTGTAACATCCTAAACACCTGGGTAAAAGCACTTAAATTAGTTTTTTTTCCACTCATGATTTAACTTCCTGAGTGTGTAACTATTACAGGCAGGGGGATGGAGTACCCACAAATACCTCCTTGCAGATTTGTTGGAAACTGCCCAAGAGGAAGTCAGAAAACAGAGGAAGGAACATGCCTTAGGACTGGCAGAGAAGCTTCTTAAAGCAAACAGAGGTTTGCGGTGGCTGTTGTGAAAAGACAAAATATTTTTCTTGCTTTTTAGCAGACAAATGTGATCTAGCTAGCAATTAAGCAATTAAGAAATTGCTTCTGGGAGAGATTTCTGCAGCATCTAGTTGGTATTCTGACTATTTCTACGGTGCATTTGTTATCTTGGTTTCCTAAATATCAAGGAACAATGTTAGGATGAGCAATTGAAACTCTAGATCAACTGATTAATAGTGTATTAAGACAGTGTTTACCTGCATTTTTAGGGCTAAGTTTGCGTCTAGAACTTATCAGCAATCCTAATTGAATTACAGAAAATTCTTAGTTAACACCTCATCTTGTCATTTATTTTTACTTACATAGGCTGATATGCTTTCATAATACAGCATTCCTTAWTTTGAAGTACCAATCATTGATGCGTTTTTGCTAAATTCTTAGAATATGTGACTAGGTGCTCAACAAAATTAAACTTGGTAGTCTTATTTAATTTAAAGTAAGTTTTGATGCACTTAATAGTTTTGCTGGCTTGGTATGTGGTTTCTAAGCTGAATCTACTGTTCTTTGAACAGCTGGAATGCACATCAGTGAAATAATCTTGACTCTCTCTCTCTCTCCGCTACCAGTAAGCTTTCCTCTTTGAGGTCACTTTTAATTGGAATATAGAAATTACTCACCCGAAATATTTTCCCAYTTCTAGAATAAGTTTACAAATCACCGTTGGAGATTTATTCTGTGTATGGAATAAACTGTCAGTGTGGTTATTTCACACTATCTTCTTTTGACATGAGGAGCTCTCAACTTTCCTTCTGGGTTTCCTTTTACCAGCATTTAAAATATTCTTTATGGGTTTTCTGGCTTCACAAGCACCAGCTTTCTTATCTGGAGAAGTGGGTATTATGCTGCAGGTGACTCTTGTAGAAARGCATGTGAAACTATGGGGTGTCTTAATGCAGGTTCTTGGTTTCTCTCAAGCTAACACCTGGAGATCTTTAATTTAGTGTGCTTTCTAGGGCTTTAATATCCTTTCTCTGTCCTGAGCAAATGCATTTCCTGATTCCATGAGAACTGAGTTTGCTGCAGCTGGAATGTCTGTGATGAATTTTCATTTATGTTGAAATGGTGATGATTTAAAAATATTGCATGACGATTTTACAACTTTTCTTGCTTTTTTTGTAATTCTAGGAGACTCTGCAAAGGATTGTCAGTACTCTAGTGAACAAAAATGACGAAATTCACAACTTCATTGACATGCTGAACCATACCATATCGAATGTTCAGGTATTTATGTTAAGGTTCACAGCTTGTGCCTGAGAGGGGGGCACCTTTCCACTTTTGTTTGTCTCAAACTGGGTAGTGTCTGAGGGATGGTAAGAATCAAGTTCAAAATACATTTTCRTGTTGGAACTAGATAGAAAAACATTTTGTGTTTCAAGTCTGTCTTTAGATGGAAGGTATGGTGATCTTGCATTTTGTGTTATAGAACTTTGTGTGGAAAAGAGAATTCAATCTGATGCAAGTTCTGAAACTCCCAGTAGTGGCAAATAGTCTGTGTTTTCAGGCTTCTGCTCTGTTTGGCAGACTGAAAAATGACACTTGAGAGAAAATTCTTTGCTTTTTCTTTTTTCATCAGTTTCAAATTTTTGGGCTCAAGTTTAGAGTTGGACCTAATTGTTGGAGCATCTGCAGAACAATGAGTTTTAGGTTCCTTTAGCCTGACRATTAGCTGAAAGTTGTTTCATCCTAAATCTGAGCCTGGTTGGCTGCAGTAATGGAAATTATCCACCAGATCTTTCAACTGCCTTCTTGAGGGCACTTTTGAGTATCAAATGAAATAATTTTATTTGGAACTGGGTGACTTCCTCCTTCCAAACATCCAGCAWTCCAAATACAATTGTGAGAGGGAAGTCAAGCATAGAGCAAAGTTGCCAATTGTGCTGGTTCTGTRCAAGATTGAGTATCGTGGAATTTTCACAGATTTTGGCATTCAGTGGCCTGATAAAGAGCCTGCTTAGGAGACTGTTCCCTCACTTTTAATGGTTTTCCCCTTTCTGATAAGCTAAGAAGCAGTCACAAGRACACGGCAAAAACTTGTGTGGGGAATTATGGGACTTTCAAAGTGTTTGCCTTGTTTCCAGTGTAAACAGCATTTTCAATTCTCTTCTCAGGTGAACTCTTCTAATGCCATCAGCGAGCTGGATGAGGAGTTTGATGGTCTGTATTCTGTACTGCATGAGATGAAGGGCAGTATGGCCAACACTATTCAGCAAGAAGAAGCCCGTAAAATTCAAGCACTCCAGGTAAATAACTAACTCAATCGGAAAGACTTTTTGCTGCGTATAAGCAGTTTTGAACTTCCTCTGTTCCTGTTCTGCTACTCCCATTTGTTACACGGCAGTATTGATTTTCAGGATTGTCTTGTGACAGTACCAGAGCTGGTAAAGTCACTGCCTTTTTCAAGGCTATTGCCACACTGTCATTCAGTGATGAAGTGCAGTCCTGTAAATAGAAATTGTAGTGCTCGTGAATGTAAGCATTCATTTCTCTGCATCTGAAGCCCTGATGCTGGGAGAAACAGGGCGTTGGAATTAAATCCGGCTTTTAAGTCAGACTTCAGCTTTTTCCCCCTTGGAGTTGTGGGATTTGCCAAATATCACTGTGCTCTTGTCAAGCACAGTGAAGTTAGGACACTGTCAGAGGCCCTGGTTACATAAGGGAGTAAGTTGTCACAAATGCATAACAAATCMGTGTAGTTGCTAGGACTGGTGCTTCACAAACGGCTGTTTTAATGGGAATACATCAAATTATTTTCTCTGTTTTTGCTCCAGGATCAGCTTAGCCAGTGCAGCCGTGCCCTGGAGAGCTCAGAAGAGCTGCTGGAGCTCGCAGTGCAGTCGCTGGACATAAAGAACCCCGTGGAGCTCTTAGAGGTAGAAAATGTTGACTGGATGTGTGTGAGGCAGGTGTGGATGACTGCCTCAGTTTGAAAGATCCTTTGCATTACTCTCATGGACACAGGAAACTTAACCAGGTGTATTTAGAGTGAGGMTAGAGAGGCATGTAAAAATACAGTTATTGCTCTGCTGAAAAAAGTAAAGCACTGTAGTCCTCAATTTTTATGCAATTTCTGATAAAACAACTTGGGTTTTCTTCTTTATTTAGAGTGAAGGGGGAAGGAATGCAGTGCCTTCTCCTGGATAACTGTCATGGTTAGGCAAACTTGCAYGGATGAGCCCAGAAAGCAAGGGTGAAATAACATGTATCTAACTGGAAGAATATACTTGTAAATTGAGAAAACAGTTCCACACTGAAATCGGTACACTAATGCTTGCTACAGTAATCCTGGTGGTAGCCGTGGGATCAGCMACACCAAATCCAAGGCTCAATTACTTTTTTTCTTTCTGCATTTTAACAGAAACAAGGACACAAATCAGTTAAAACGAGTGAGGGGGAAAGCTGTCTTCTAGTGTCAGTTTTACCTTTTGGCTGCATGTTTGTGTGCTGTCGTGCTTTCTGGGTGTCAGCTTTGATTTATTTGCCTTGAAGAGCAGCAATTCCTAAACAGTATTTTTCTTCAGCTGGAGTTGTCCTTTCTGTTCTGTAGCAAAAAATGAAGTTAGCTCTTGAACTCTATGAAAAATACAGCTTTGACTTTACTGGAAGTTCTTCCATTTCAGATCTCTTTAATGCTTTTTTTCTAATCAAATACACCAAGGAAAGCTGTGTGTTTGCTGGGGAAAGACTCTTGAGATTTGGAGTCTGAAGCTTAAGACACTGAAATCCAATTCAATAAGCTCTAATATGTAGGATTTGATACTGGTATTACACTTGAGCATTCAGGGATGACATTTTAAGGTAATATTGCCTTGACTATTCGGCAGCTAATTCTGTTACTCTGCTGGTAGGAATAGCAAGGGGCAGCTCAAGCCCTGACTTCTCTATTGGCACAAATTTTCTTTGGATACTCCAGTAAATCAGTTGAGGAGCAACCAGCATAAGGTTATCATTTAATCTATTTTTCTCTACACTAWTTTTTTGTGGCTTTATTCTCTGAGTTGTTTTGAGTGACAGATTGCAGCAGGGTTCATTGGTTAGTAGGATGTGATCAGGCACTGCTGGGCAGCTCCTCTGGGATGGGCTGATGCTTCTCTGTCAGTAGCCTAGAACCAACTAAATTTGGTGAAGTTAAGCTGGGACTGTCTTGAAGATGATGAGTCGCGGCTGCCACGTATTTTACAAGACATGGAGATCAAACCCAAGGATTTTATTGTGAAGTAGCTCTGTTTTTATCTACAGCTGTCATGAAGGAAAATCAATCGGTTCCTGCAAAAACTTAGATTTGAGGTAGAGCAAAGATGCCTCTTGAGCTGTTGTGGTTTTTTTTCTGCTTCCCACTTCAGGAATATATAATTGGTTTTATTCAAGCAGCAGGGACAGCTTGATTTCCTGTTTATTTTTTTTTTAATGTGATTTGTATTTAGTGAAAAATTGGTAAGTTCTTCACTTTTAACTTCAAACTGGGAAGCTGCCTGATGATTTGTGTCTCTTTGAAAGGGAAGATAATTCAGCTGAATGAGCAGCTAGATCTAGGAGCAGTGTTAACTCCAATCAAGGCTTCAACAAACACAACTAAGCCATCACTACTTCAGCATTAACTTTTGTCTTAGGTTTGCACTCATTTTGGTGAACGAGAGGGATTTTTGTCTTTCTGTGTGCCAGTTGGTGTTTATCTTTTAAAGTMATAATTTCTGCATTACTTCAAGGTTGTCATTAAAGAAGATCTTCTTGCTGTCATTTTTGAATGCAGTAAAATAAAAGACGTATAGTGATTAAGAAAAATCTGAAAGGACAAAGTCACACCCAGAAAGTTGAGTAATTTGGAATTCTTTTGGTGTGGTTCTGGAAATAGTTTTTTTTTCCCCTCCAGGTGTTATGGTGTTGCTCTGCTAACCCATGCTATTAACATGCTTAATGGGACAATTTATGTTGAGGAAAATGTTAAACTCATTTTGAACTTCAAATCTGAGCAATGCAGCAGAGATTGTTCCTGGCCTTCTTGCATGTTACTGCCATTGATACTTGCATGGGAATACTAACTACTTTCTCTCTCTTCTCCCTGACATGCATCAAGGCTGCCAGACAGATCAAAGATAGGTACAGTACAAAATCTATCACTTTTTTTGTCTTTGAATTAATCTTATCCTTGAAAATGCATGTACTTTGAAAGGGCCATAGTCAGCTTTAATCAAATTCATTGACTCTTTTCTAAGTGTTAGTTATCACAACTTTCAAGGGGGAACTAAAAACTTCTGTGCTGCTCATGTAGTGTTCTTCCTGGCTTTTTATAACTTTGAATTAAAAGGTGTTTCTGATGCAGGGAAGTGGAGCTCTGCATCAGCTGCTGCTATAATTATGTATTTAAATATATATGTATATCATTAATAAGACTTATTTATTATTAATACCTCATAGCTGAAATTTAGTTATGTTTCAAGCTGACTGTGTCCCTTTGTGTTGTGAGAGAATCTTGGTTTATTTTTTCTTTTTCAAGTACTTACTAGTACTTTTGCTAGCTTATTTTCCTTCAGAATGCAAAAAGTCTTGTAGCTGTTGAAATACTTTTGGTGACACTAGTGACAGTGAAATTATTATTGCTGGTAGCTTTTCTTTGAATTGTTGTTCAAAAAGCCAAACTTTACTGTTTTAAAGTCAATACTAAGGCCATTTTTCTTCAGTCGGAAGAATGTTAACTGTATTCCAAGAGTATGACCTTCTGGGTCAGTAAACCTTCTATGATATGCACAATATTTTGAGAAGCAGCTCAGAGGATGATGTTGTTGGTCTTGTGGACCTTATAGGTCAGCTTTCAATTTACAGATYTTTCAGTGAAGGCTCTGATTTACTAAATTCTTTGAACTTCTGTGTAAAAYGAGTAATTGTTATATTTTAAATTAATATTTGCTTTTCCAAGGGTGAAGATTTATTATCCTTAACAGATCAGCGGGATAGTGGATACTGTCAGTGATGGGACTTGTAATACTTTTTATTAGTAATAAGCATCCTCTTCTGGTTTGTTGAAATTATCACCAAATCCTTTGTGGTCCTCTGTCCAAGACTGGAGTCTGAGCAGGAGTTAAAAGCTGTCTGAGGCCCACTGTTCCCTGGTGTTCTCTTGCTGCTAATCAGAGGATTATTCTTTCTTAAGGAAAGATTTACTCTACCCATCTGGCTGAGCATTAATGTGCTAGGCAGCCCATACTGAATTCCAGAATGTGAGTTCTGTCCTGGGAAATCAATTGAATTGTCTTTCATGATGTTCAGCTCAGTCTCATAATTGTTTCATATCCCAGAATTGCAAAGCTCATCATTCCTGACTTGCCTATAACTTAAATACTTAACTTCATATTTCCTTCCCCTTTCCCACTACCTGACTTTTTGTTTTTCAGTGTTCTTTGATCTAGCTGTGGTTAGCATACGGTCTCTCTTGCATACTAGTGAAGTGCAGGAAGTGATACATACTACTTATTCTGAAGGTGGCACACATCTGTGGGTATAAAATGTATTCAGGTCTTGGCAGTTGACTATTATGGTGTGTAAATTACTTTGCAGTTGAGATATTCCTTTTTTTTAAAGCAGTATTTGGGACCTCTGTGGTGTCTGAATCAATGTTACTCAAATTCTGCTGCATGGCCTAGTGTCTTCAGAGTTAGAGAGCTATACAAGAGCCTTGTCTGTTTTATTTTTGGTGATGTAGCTGGAGTACTGAAATRTCTTGGGAGTGTTCAGAATAAGTACAGAGCTAAGATTTCAGGAGTGAAAGAGGGAGTTTTGCTTCACAGAATCCCAGGAAGGGTCAGGTTGGAAGGGACCACAGTGGTWCAYCTGGTCCCACCTCCCTGCTCCAACAGGATCATCCCAGAACGCATGGCACGGGATTGTCTCCAGAAGGTTCCGGAATATCTCCAGTGAGGGAGACTCCATGCCCTCTCCAGACAATCTGTTCAGGTCYTTCTCTGCAGAGCTGTTTTCAGCAGATCACCCTGGCTGGTGCTGGTGCCTGGCGTTATTCCTGCCCAGGTGCAGGACCCTGCCTTTGCCTTTGTGGAATGAAGGGTCTTCAGCGTTTCACTGTGTTTTGTAAAACTGATCTGGTACTTGCATGTTTCAATCTGCAGATTGCAAAAACTCTTCGTCCCCTGATAAGGTCATAGGTATAAAATCAGCATAATCAGCTTGTTCATTGCTGTTTAGAAATGCCTAAACATGATCCTGAATCTGCACTTCTTTAGTCTTTTCAYACTTGTTAAATTTATGTCAAGTGTTACAAATTTTGTTTTCTTTCTTATCCTGGTTCTTTTTTTTTTTTCACTAGTAAAAAGTTTTCAGTTCTTCTCTAGTCACCCCTAGTATTATTTGCTGAGTTATATGGAGCAGATGGTAGCTTGCACTGTTATCCTGAGACAGTGACATTAGCAAAACTTTCTATTTTGAGTGTGCTCAGTGGTAAACAGTTCTCTGTTAGAAAAATGTTCTCATCTTTGATCGGTGGTTTGACRTCAGTGATACAGATTGTCTGATTGCTGTTTTGGAAAATGGGATGTAGTGCTTGACAATGTAAAACATATTTTGCTAATGCTGCTTTCTTGGCTTCAGTGTCACAGTGGCTTCAGCATTCCGTCTCTCTCTGAAACCAAAAGTCAGTGACAGTATGACTCATATGATGGTGGACTTCGCYCTGGAAAAGCGCATGCTCCAAGCTGTCAAGTTTTTGCCAGGTAAAAATCGTTTCGTTTGTTGCTATGTGAACAACTTACTATATTTTAGCCAACAAAACAAGAGAAAACCATGCCACTTGCATGCTAGTGAGCAAATTTTTCAGAGCACTTAAAATTCTTACTCATTATAATGTAAACTGAGTACCATGAGGGTGAGAGTTTTCTGTTCTTACTCAGTATATGTTGAACCAAATACTTTGAGGGTGAGCATTTTCTGGTTGTATTGTGTAAATTTCTACATGAGACAGTGCTTTGGAAAATAGTATCAATCTCAGAAGTGAGAATGAGTATTCCAGACCATGTTTTTTCCTGAGTTCATCGGTTTCTCTGTACTTYGTGAAGCCACCTGAGATTTCTCAGGACTGTCCCTGCCAGCTTGATGCCAAGTGATGTTCCCAAGTCCTGCTCCTGTGCAGAGGGKTGTTATGTGTGTAACTGTAAACTAATACATTGCATACAAGAGTGGTGAAATGGTCTGAAAGACAGGAGAGGGACAGTCTACTAATACAGTGATACTACCATATTACAAAATGTATATTAATGCATCTGTTCCTGTTTGATAGTAAACCTGASCGTATTAGACCAGTATGTGTCTTTCATGCCTTTTTATTTCTAATTGCTTTCATATTTAAAACACTTTGCYCTTGGCTGTTACTGAGAATATATTGACAAGAGCACTGCTGGCAGGGATGTAAAGTTGTTTCATCTCTAGGTCACAAATCCAAATCTGTTAAGGACTTGGCAGCATCAGTTTACATTTCTGCCCTGTGTGTTGCAGATACAGTATGTGGTAGCAGGTGTAGTAAATGACCAATGTTATTCCTAGTGGTCAGCTGGCAGTGTCCAGGCAGAAATTCACCTTCTAGTTTTGGGCTCTGGGTGTCAATCAGTGCCCTGCATTTCACAGCTAAGGGTACAGGGCACCTGTTTAATAGGAATACGAGTGTAAAGATCTAAGAGCAAGTGTGAATGGAGTTTTGCRTCTAGATAAAGGTATTATTTAGTATGACCCTTCTTGTACATTTTTCCTTGTCAAATACATAGSAATTTAAATTGGGCCTTTGATTTGTAAACAGGAAAATTGGCTGTCTGAGTATCAATCTTGCTTTTTCTACTATAGAACCAAGCTTCCAAATTACTCAGACGCCAAAAGCTCAAACYGTTGCAGGCAAATTTGCACTGAGCACTGGTAGGCCCTCATACACAGGGAAATACTAATGTCCTAGCGTGGGAAGTTGACAATAGGTTTGGTGTTGTGACAGTTTGAATAGTGCTTACCAGAATTATGCTGAAGACTTGGCTGCCCCAGCAAATGGAAAGGTCTTTACCTGGAATCTTGTACCATGACGAAAATAATTGGGGTAGTTAGCTGAACTTAGAGATACATGTGCTGAAATATTTGTCCTAATCCTTATTTTTATTTGAAGGGATATTCTCAGATTATTGTTGGATAACTTTGAAACTTGATGTCAAATGCATGTAGTTAACACTTGAGCCTTTTTTGTAGTTTAACCTCCAGCAGGCACCACACAGGTGGGATAGGGAAGAGAGAAAGAAGGGTCACAGTGGGAAAAATTGTGGATTGAGATAAACAGAGTTTAGTAGGTAAAGCAAAAGGCTGTGTAAGTGACCTTATTTCCTGCTTCCATCAGCAATCAGCTGTTCATCCATCCCTAGGAAAACTCTATTCCTGTGGCAGAGACTTGGGAAGACAAGATGCCTTCACCCGGAATATCTCTTCCCTCCCTTCTTTCTCCCCCCTATTTTATATTCTGAGCATGACTCCCTATGGTCTGGAATACCCCTTGGTTCAATTGGGGTCAGCTGTCCTGRCCATCAAGTGTTTTAAATCTATACCTCTGGTTTCAATGTACTTTCCTGTTTGGCTTAAACTGCAGGAGTGGGTGAGGATAAAATGGTGTGTTTTAGTAGTGCTGAGTTAAAATATTGGAACAGATCACGAAGAGAAGGTGTGAAGAGGGTGTTCATAAAACAAACTCGCATTTCTGCTTCTGGTGGTCCTACTGTAGCTAGGAGGGGTTTGTGTCTAGATAGTAAAATTGCACAACTTTAAATGACTCAGCTGTAGATAATGTGAAACTGATTGTCATCAGTCATTGTGGAGGGGAATCATGGTGAAAGGAAAGGTTGTGAAAGGTTGTTTCAGATTCACAAAGGCAACCTGTATGAAATTAGGACTTGGTCAATAAGGCCTCTACAGAACAGCACAGTTGAGGGCTGAGTGTTCAGAAAAGAGATGACATTTGACAGACAAAATCTACAGGTCTATCAGTTCCATAGATGCATCAATATTGTATTTTTTAATGTATTTTTTTTATGTTGATACATTGACTTTCAGGCCACCTTTATATCTATTTCAAGCACTGTCAATGCTGAAACAAAGAAAAAGAGTTTTGCAGACCCTTTCTCCAAAAAATGAAGACAAAAAATCTCCTTTTCATTTCCTGCAGCAAGTCTTTCTTGAATGTCCTTTAGACATTCCAAATAGTATGAAAATGCTTTCTTTTTCAATTTTTTTCCCCAGAGAATTATGTGCTCTTTGTTTCCTTGGAAACAGAATTCTGTTGTCTATAAACAAAACTGCAGTGTTTAGTGGGCCWTAGGAATTGTTTCCCCTCCTTTCAACACAAAAGGGGTGAAAAGGAAAGAAAACTGGGTAACTGAAGAAAAGCTAGTGGAWAATATTATAGTGTCTGTAGTGAAGAAAATAAATATAAGTGATGCTGTGTGAGGAGTGCAGSTTATCTTACCTTCCAAAGACTTAGAAACAGAGGTTTGCTTCTTAGTGTTCTTCCTGTATRGTGTTGATTCTAAATGTGGGTTCGTTGTTGTAAGTTCACTCTACTCTCTCCTCTTTAAGCTGACATGTGTATTTCTCTTTCTGCAGTCCCTAAAGCTCCCGAGATAGATGTAGCAGCATGTCTGGTTGCTGACAACTGYATAACAATATCGTGGAGAATGCCTGAGGAGGACAGCAGAATTGACCATTTTGTGCTGGAGTACAGGAAAACCAACTTTGATGGGCTCCCTCGACTGAAAGGTGAACAGCGTTGGGAGCTGGTTGACTACATTAAAGCTACTCAATACACATTATCAGGTAAAGGTTTTTTATACTTCAGACCCAAGGATATTGATATAACTGTGCTTGGAAGTTTAGCGAAGTGTCCCTTTTTCTGCCTGTAATGAAGCTGCCATTATATTACCTTATTCTTGAGTGCTTTGTACAATAGCAGTTCTCTCCTTTATTTTGACTTTGAGGTTTTGCAAAAAATTGTGTGCTAAATAAGTTTTGCACTGGTATTCAAGCATATTTTTTGCAGGATGAGATAAATGCAAAACAGCTACATGGGAACAGATCTTGGTCTTGTAGGAGTTGTCAGTATTCAATGTAATTTCTAAATATTTTTTTAGGTCTGAAATTTGATACAAAATATATGAACCTTAGAGTACAAGCTTGCAACAAAGCTGTGGCAGGTGAATACTCTGACCCCGTGACTCTGGAAACCAAAGGTAAAGTTTGCAAAACTATTAAACCTTATCTGTGGTGAAAACCCTTCACTTAAACTCCTCTGTCTTCTTACCTGTATGCCCAGTCTGCTTCTGCATGAGTACTGCTGGAACGCGTCCCAAGTGGAAAGGAAAACAACTGTAAAAGATTAAAAAGCTTATTGGCATAAAGCTGCCCTTTTTGGCATTCAGACCCTGGAAAATGGGGCAGTTAATGTCACTTTCTCTAAAAGCTTGGATTTGGTTGCTTTGAACTGTGGAGTGACAGTCCCATGTGCTGCTGCATGATGCCAGCATACAGCAAGAAGGAGGATGAATGCTGTGGATGACTCTTAGGACATCGAAACAGTTGGTGTGATTGTCCTGTTRTTAGTGACAGACACAACAGCTTCCTGTAACTAGAAGTTGCTGGAAAGGGTTTTCTTGGCTTTGTAGCTGCTGTTTCTAATTGCTGTCAATATTTAAAAAGTTGTCAGCTTCAAATTGCTGAAGGTGCACAGTCATCRTGTTGGAAGTCAGCTGATCTGAGAATTGTTAGGGTGGCTTCCTAAAATTGTTTAGTAAATAAACTGGAAGGAAACTTCTTAGAATGGGATGTTTTGTAGCAGAACACAAATCTTAACAGTTGAGATGAAAGAGTGATCCTGAGGCTTGATTTGCGACCAGGTCTGTGGTGTCAAGAGCAAAATGACTGGTATCCACTGTATCAATTTCTGTAAGTATAAATTCTGTTCCTTGTGAATGTTACTTCATAAGAATAAAGCTGTATACAATTTGAATGAGCTTGATGGTCATTCTGGTAATTTTCCTAGAATTATTTTAAATGCTCTTAAGTAGCAGTCACTGTCAGAGACATAGTAGCCATTTAATAGCCACGCAATTCCCTACTCCAGTACCAGAAAAGAAATTCTGGTTTTGGTTGTTTGGGCAGTTACCACACTTCTCATATTAATTTTTGTTACTCCTGGGTGAATTCTTAGTTCACTTACTTTAATAGTCAGCCCATAGAAAATCAGTTTGCTTGTCCATATGCTTAACCTGACTTGTTTATAGCTGTGCACTTTTGAGGTCTAAACTTGTACAAACTCAAGTATACTTTCTTTTAGAGCAAAACTGTAATTCTGGTGATATTAGGACATTTATAGAATAGTCTGTAAATGTAATTAGAGAATTCAGCCTATTGTATCAGTTGTATTTAGTGCTTTGGCCTGTCTTTGTAGCTTCAGTAGAACTTCTCTAGTTCTTGGCTTTTCTTTGGTAGAAGGACGTGGTAGCATGTTCAGCTTTGCATCTCAGACTGACCTTTTCTAGGAGGGGATTTACAAGTGTCAGACTGATTGGAAGTGTCAGACTGAAAAGCTGATTTTTCAATTATGTTCAGTGGGAGTCTGTAACAATTTACTACTGCTTCTGTTATTTGCTATGAATAACCACTATTGAGAGAGAGCATTGTACCATTTCACTCTTTTCTRTTTTGTCTTGATCAGCATTTGTGTTCAGTTTGGACAGTACTTCATCTCACCTGAACTTGAAAGTTGAAGACACCTATGTTGAATGGGATCCTACTGGAGGCAAAGGGCAAGAAAAAATAAAAGGGAAGGAAAATAAAAACAGGTAAGAACCCTTGTTTTGCAAGTGTCTGGAATATCCCATCTAGCAATTAAAGGAAGATGGCAGGGGGGAATTAAAGCACTTGAGGACTGTGGGACATGAAAGGAATTTTGACTCAGAAATGTTTATTTGAAGAAATTTTTTCCCTTTCTCTGTTACACAGATGTAGGGGCTAGAATTGTGTCATAATTGCTAACTAATATTTATTTATTTAGAAATGCATTTGTTAGGTTATCATTCAGTGTACTGAGTTAAAATGTAGGTGTGGTGGATAGACTTTGTCTACTCACCAGGTGCGCACTCACCTGCTCTATGGCTTCGCCTTCTCTTGGTAATAATACCTTGCCACATAAGCCCAGGACAGTGGATCAGGTAAATGTGAACAGGCAATTGATAAAATTCTGTGTTTACTAGTGTTGCAGGTCAGGTCTGGTGAATAGACGACATTTCTACTATAAAAAATGAAGGAAAGAGCTGCCTTGTCCTTTTGAGAAGGAAAAGGTTAAGTAAAATTGGTATTATATATATAGGTGGTGTGTGATTTATCTTAAACTTTCACTGGAGGGGAAAAGGCACGAATGAAACAAAACAGATTGCAAAAGGTTATGARTAACAAAACATAACTATTGTGAAAGTGGCATCTCTAAACATTTTTTACTGTACTCATCCAGGAAAAGCACTTCAGCAGAACTCTTGGTAGACTGTTAAAAGTCTGCTGTTCTGAGTCATGGGATAAATACCATTGGAAGAACATTTAACTCTGTCTCTCTGGCTGAGCCTTGAATGTATCRAAGGATGAAGAATGTGTGTATGAAAAATGTGTTAACTTGCTAGTCCTCTATTTCAGGCCACTTTTATGGGAGGGGAGGARTATCCTGGTACCTGAGTGGAATTCCCTGTGGTGCAGTGGCTCCCAGGTGCCTCTCAGCCATCAGAGTGATCCCTTCTGAGGAAAGCCTAGCTTGATCTTCTCTCCCTTTCCTGTTACCTCATTAAAGACAGCGATTGGTTCTTGTTTTCCTCAGGCTGAGCAAACCCAGTTGTCATTTTGTGCCCCAGACCCTTAATTGTGGTATTGGCTCTCCACTAGACTTACTCTGGTGTGTCAGGGTGTAAATCCAAGGGGCCCAAACCTGACCACAGGAGGGCTTCAAGATCAGTCTGACAGCTGTCRGAAGAAGAGGAGTTACTTGCCTTGGGCTCCTGGTCACTGTGTTGTGGCTGCAGCCAGGTTGTGGCTGTCCGCTTCTGYCGTGAGGGTGCATAGCACTATTCTTGTCAGTTTCTGCTTTTCAAACTCCCAGTGGCTTTTCTGCAGAGCTGTTCTTCCCTCAGGTATCCCTCAGCCTGTCCTGCCTGTGGATTTCTCTCACCTGGAGAGCTGTGAGCCTGGTACTCAGCTGGATCTGTGCAGAGCCCATGGCCCCACTACCCCATCTATGCCTCACCTCTTGGGCTATGGAGATACTCTGTGGAGATGGGTCCACACAACTGGCTACTCCCTCAGCCGCAATTTATTATCTTTCCACATGCACAACTTGAGATAATTCAGAACAAATGCTTTTTCTGTAGGAATGTATTGCCAGAAGCATGATAGAATAACTTCTGTTGGCATTTTAAAAACGGGGATAATTTACTGTCATAATAGAACAGCTCTTTAATGACTACTTATTTCTGTCGACAGTGGCCAGAATCCTCTACTGAAGAGCAATAGAAGGTGATAATATACCTCTTATTCCTAGGATCTAGCGCCTAGTTTTRTTGGGAATCTGTGCTACTTTCCTTTGCTTGATATCATGAGAAACAAATCTAATAGCCTTTATCAGTAACAATGCACATGCATGTTTAGAAGTGATTTTGAAGTTTAATTTGGATTCAGAGAGATTATTTTTTTTCCAGTGACTGGAAGAGAGCCTTTTTTGCAGGATTCATCCTAATGTGTATGAAATCTGATTTGCAATGGTTGGGAGGGCATCATGTAYTGTAATATTGATCCACAATCCCTGTTATTTACAGACATATTGATGCTTTCTTAACCCTTTGGCACATTTTTTACGAATACGGTAAAGGTCTTCTCTCTGAGACTTTTAAAATACTTTTTTTTTCTCATTTTTGAACTGGAAAACCTCTTTGCTTCTGAAATTATGCTGCAGCTGTTACTAGACAGGGTAAGATACTCTTATAGTGTGTTTTACATATTTGAAGAGGATGAAGTATGATGGCATGTGTTARATTCTAATTGTAGAACCAATTGTTTGGATGAGAAATCCTGCTTTTTGAGTTGTAAAATATTCTCCTRTTCCTGCAGTAGTTTTGGTTTTTTARTATCACATTTTTCATTGTTTTTCCAGTGAAATTCCTTTTTAAGAAATTACTTCTCTTGTTTTTGCTCTCTAGCTCTTTTTTACTGGTTTAGAAGTGGGACCAGAAGAAATGCCCAGATTCTTAATTTCTTACAGATCTARCTCCCCTGTGTATACCTATCAGGTGGATCTATGATTTGAAATCAGAAGAAAAGCTTATGTGAAAAGCAAAATAGGCCCTTRAAGCCATGCAGTGTTAATTTTTCTACTGCACAGAGTATAGCARTTTCTGCTAAACTTAGATTTTAAAATGTCTTGAAGATGTTCCTATTGCTCAGCTCAGGGAATTTGGTACTTTGGCCTGTCTTTGTAGCTGTCAGTAGAACTTCTCTAGTTCTTGGCTTTTCTTTGATAGAAGGACATGGTAGCATGTTCARCTTTGCATCTCTGACTGACGTTTTCTAGGASGGGATTTAGATGAGCTTTGTTCTTGTAGGAGGCTTTTGTTTACTCTTAAAAACATCTGTGAGATATCTGTTAGAGGGCAAATTCGGAGCTGGCTCCATGGGAGGTGGGGGAAAAAAATTGTAGTATAGTTACTTCAAACAACAATTATGCAGTTTTTAAGGGTTGGAAACACATGCTGGCAATAAAATTTTAATTATCTTTAATTTATTAGACCAGAGAAAGTCTCAATTTCTGATCTCCTTCCTTGACCTTTCTTCTCCAGAAGAGAATACACATTGCTTGGAATATGTTCTGTTTGCTGAAATGGRTGAAAAAACAGGGACTAATTGCAGTGCTGTCGGCAACAGTCCTAAACCATGAGACAAGAATATCTGGCAACTAAAGAGTGGAAGAAATGTGTCAGTTACTGGCTAATAAGGAATTTGCTCTGCTGGAAAATGGGCACAGAACTGACTTTCTCCTATGAAATTTGCTGCCTTCTGTGAGAAGGCAGACTTAAGTACTGTGGAGGAAAAAAACCCTAAATAACTGGGTTTTTGGAAGCTTTTATGTCAAATAGTCAATGTAATTTTCTGAACTGATAAAGGCTATTAAATTTTGAGAGGACAAAGCACATGCAGTGGCCATTTACAGACTTGAACAAAATAACTGAATGCCAAGAAACCYTTAATGCTTTCTTAACCTTGAGAAAATTCTAGCAAAGCACCTGCATTTTTCTTTTTGTGATTCTCTAAATGGCTACGATGCTTTCTGCCTAACCCCTTTGTACTGGGTCTAATAGAAAATTTTCAGCAGCATTTGTTGTGAGTGGATGAAGCAGAAATTAAGTCTGCAGAGTGCCTCCCTCTGAAATGATGCTTTAATTATTGGCTTTGCCTTTTTTTTTTTTTTTTCCCCATGCTATCACTTGCTAACTTTTTCCTTTGGTAAGTAAACTGCAGCATCCCCCACATTTACAAAATCCAAAAGCACTTGATGTGGTGCACCTTGTTCACCCCCTTCATGTAGCTCTTGTGAGCAATTTGGGAGCATAGTTCTCTTTCGATCATTGTTGTCAAATTACTACTAAAATGATGATCCTCAAGTAAACAGCTTTTTCATCAGTGATTTCTTAGAGATGTCTGTAAATTGAATAAAACTTGGTCATGAGCTAGATTTTAGCATAATCACATATGGCTGCTTAATACCACTTCGATTTTGATTCCCATATGACTTTTCTTTCATGATGRTGTTAGGCAAAAGAGACATTTCCTAACCCTTTCTGAAGTGGTTTTTGAGAATAATGAATGAATTGTAAAGAAAACAAGCTTAACTTCACTATATGAAGGGACRTAAAAGTAGTAAGTAGCTTTACCACATTGTAGCTGAAGGAGAAGTTGGAGAGAAAACTCTTTTGTGCGTGGTATTTCTTCCAAGGTTGGTGTTTGATGGACTAGAGAGAATGAGAAATTGAAAATTACTTCACACGTGTGTTTCAGAGACTGACTTTGTACTTTTTTGGGGTTTTTGTCAAATTAAATTGTAAACTGCGTAGCTGTTTCTGAGAAGTTAAAATTCTTTGCCTCCAATTGCCTTTAAAATAGCAATCAAATGTGATTCTCTGCTGAGGATCACTGCAAATAGCCTTCATTTGGTTTAAGGGTTAAATTATTGGTAATTATTTATGAAGGCCTAACCGAGGTAAAAAAAGTTTGAAGTTGTCATTAGGTTAAAATTAGTCTTTTATACAACTGGTTGCTCATTMGGATACTCTCCATCCTGAAGTGTCTCATTCAAATCACGTGCCACACATCTGCTTTTTTCCCCCTCTGTTTCCATTCTCAGCTGCCTATGATCTTGTTTTTTGCAACATTCTGTATGTCTTTTTCTGTCTGCCACCTCTTTCTTCTSAGCCCTCATGCATGCAGGCTGTTGGAGGCATGAACTAATGTGTCGTTTCAAGAGTGTTTGTGTGTGTCCCTTGCTCCCAATGGACTCAGGGACACCTGAGTGCTCATTTCTGTAGCTGTGATGAGGTTTTGAGTGGCTCATCTCTCCTTTAGAAGCAACACAGCATCTCCGAAGAGATCCACCAACAGCCCGAGAGCCTCAGCGAGGGGCGGCCGGGATCGCTTTGCTGGTGAATCCTACACGGTGCTGGGTGAGCTGAACTTGTTTGCTCTGTCAGGCGAGGGCAGATGAGGCAAGAATTGGAGGGAAGGTTTGTGATTGTTCAAGGCTGTGTACTCAACACTGTCCTGCCCAGAGTCGTTTGCCTATATAACACCAGAATTTTGTGTCTTCAACTCTGTTCAAGCTCTTTTTTACAAAGCTCTTAGTGACTAATACTCGCTGCTGTTAAACATAAATTGGTGTTAAACGTACCTTGTCATAATGTGCATAGGTAAATACAGTCYCATTATTCTGTTTTATATTTATATTCTATTATACAGTTTTTTTTATTCTTCATAGTTTAGATTTGTTTTGTATTTCCTTGCTTTAAAATRAAATAGAGGAGACACCGCTGGTGCCTATTAGGAAAGCATCACTGTAACATACACTCAGTTGTAATTAATTACATTTAATTGTAATTAAATGTTTTGTTTTTTTTTTTTTGGTAGGAGACACCGCTGTTGAAAGTGGACAGCATTACTGGGAAGTGAGAGCCCAGAAGGACTGCAAATCCTACAGCGTGGGAGTCACGTACAGAAACCCAGGGAAGTTTGACCAGCTAGGAAAGACTAACTCGAGCTGGTGCATCCATRTCAACAACTGGCTGCAAACCACATTCTCAGCAAAGCATAACAATAAAGCAAAGACTCTTGATATACCTGTCCCAGACAGAATAGGAGTATACTGCGACTTCGATGGAGGTAAATTACACTCCTAGGAGATTGAGCTAAAAATTTAGTTGGCTGTTGAGTTGGAGCAGTACAAGGCTGAAAAAGTGCTTTACTTCCAGATGATCCAGTCTTGTGTGGCAGCACAGACYCTAAATGCTTGTCATGTCAAGTGACCTGAGTTCATCTGTGCGACAGAGCTACTGAAATTCACTGAAAAGAATGCATTTTCACTCTTACGGGCTGTACTTAGTGTGTCCTGAAGTTAATACTTTTTTTGTACAACGTAGACAGCAACAGTATCATAGCTTAAACTGTGTTTTAGATGAGTTTCAACTTGTTCTCTCTCTCTCATAGGTCAGCTCTCATTTTATAATGCAAGCTCAAAGGCGCTGTTACACACCTTCAGAACAAAGTTTACCCAGCCATTGCTACCAGGCTTCATGGTCAGTATCTACAAAGTTTTGCAGTTGCTAGTACTGAATGCAGATTTAGTTGTTTTGTTTTTTTAAGAAGGAAACTGGAAATACTTGGTTTGGCTGACTAGTAATTATTAAAAATGTTTAACTGTTTTCTTTTGGATTTTGTAGTTCTTRTAGTAGCACTCTAGCAGGACTCTGCATCTCGATGTTTCTAAACAGAAGTCATTAAATTTCTGTACAGTAAATTCATAGAATGTTGTAGTGGCTGATGAGTCTGCTGCAATAATTGATCTGAACTGATGGGAGCCCAGGATGCTCTGAGCTATCAGAGCAGGTGTCGTGGAACAGAACATCACCAGATGCTTCCCAGTGAAAAAGGAAACTCCAGCTTTCACATCTGTAAAAGCTCAGTGGGATTTTCTTGCCAGTCGTTTCAGTGCTCTGCATAACCTTTTTTTTGTGTCGTGAAGCTATTGGGCAACAACTTGCTGCAATTTTAAAGGCCCACAATGCACAGGAGAAGGATTAGTTRCTGCATTTTAGTTTTTCTTTAGTGATTTAAGTCACTTTTTCAGCTAAATTTAGAGGGCTCAGGTGTGTTGTAAGGTACCATCAAGTGCATCATACTTTGGGAGCAGGGTATGTTGGCCTGGGATTTTAACAGGTCTAGATATTTTCATGGCTGTGTGTTTGCCTTGCTGATCCTTTTCAGCATAGGGGAAAAGAATAGCTTCAGAACTGTTGGGTTACATGTGGCCATCCTCTAGTATAGCAAAGGCTGACTCATATAAATTCAATTCCCAAGTGATCTGGGGAAACAGTTGCTTGCTAAAATTCAGGCTATGCCTCTGCACCTCACACAGCCAGCCCCCCACAGTGAGTGACAGCAGTCTTGCTGACTGAACAGGACATGTTAAAATGGCAAACTACTTAATTACATCTCTCAAACTTACTTATAAACATGAAAACACAGCATTCTTTCATGCAACTCATTTGCAGAAGAGGTCATTGGCACCTGTGTCTCTGAAGCTTCTCAGATTTATTTTTTTACTGTGTTTATACTGACATAATTTTAGCATGATGTGGCAGAAATAAGCACTGCTTTGAGGCGGTGTAGCATAATGATAATGTTGCTTTTCATTGWCACTCTTCGCTGCTGGCACACTGGCCTTCAAAGAATTGTTTCTTACTAGAGCAAGTGATTTTAATATTGGATCAGTTATAAAGTCATAAAGCATAGTATGTGAATAATCTTACACTTTATGGACTTAAAAATTAGCGTATCTGTGATTAGAATGTTTTACAGAGTGCTGTGATAGAAGACATGCAGCTGTGTTTGTGTTAGTTGAGGGATGGGAGGAGAGAGATGTGTTTGGTTCATAATGCAGATTTTTCTTTTTCCCCCCCAGATCTGGTGTGGTGGACTCACAGTGAGTACTGGATTGCAGGTGCCAAGTGCTGTGAAAACTCTTCAGAAGAGTGAAAATGGATTGGGGGGTTCAACAAGCAGCCTAAACAATGTTGCCTAGTAATGTCTGCTCAACACTTCTGTTGCTGAATGTTTTTGTTTTTCTGTGTAGCTACTCAGAGAAGCTTGTGAGCATTGGGTTATACGGGGTTTGCTACCTTCTGCTGTTTAGGGCCTGGGTACTGATAGTGCTAAAGGTTTGGGGCTAAAGTGTTACGAACCAGTTCTGGGAATCCAGAAAAATGTCCAAAAGCTGAACTGTTGCCTACTTTAAAAAAAAAAAAAAAGAAAAAGAAACCAAGAGCTGTAACTATGTACTTTTCTAATGCTATATTTCAAGCATTTTGTTATGGGCTTGAATATTAGTTTTGTTACAAATACTATTTTTCTATGAAGAATATAGCAAATTCCAGTTTTTTAGCTCTCCTATTACGAATTACTTATGTAWTTAATTACTGCTAGGCTTTCCATTAGAAGTTGTGATTTCCAAAATACATTTTGAAAACAGACTGGTTTACTGGCCTAGCCTGGCAAAATATCACAGTTACATGTTTTCAGTAGGATATCATGAGAATGGGTAGGCCTYGTATGAAGAAACAGTAAGAGCAGGCTGTGATTACTTTTCTCCCGCTTGATATAGAATCTTCCTGTTTTCCACAGATAACTGATTTTTTAAATTGTGTATATTGAGATTAGCTCCTGTTTACCACAATCTCATTAATTACATTCTTATTTCATTAGAAAATGTAAATATGTACAGGTGTTCTATCACCTTGACTCCTATTTCAAACTTAATAGAACAGTAGTCAAATGATTTGTAATAGTGGGAGAGCTAAAAAAATTTTAAAATCATGTTATATTCTTCGTGGAAAATCCCAGCTTGTCAGTGGGAATTACTTGGTTACTACAGACTTTTTAAATCTGCTTTCTTCCCTCTAATCAAGTCGAGGAGCCTAGAAATAGTTTTCAGGTACACTCTTGAATCAGGTGTTTCCTAAATGAAGCTTGCTTTCTGGTATCACCTGAAAACTAGTATAAATTCATGGTCCATAATGATTTGGCTCATTTGCTAAATGGGCCAGTATAAATTTTTCCTTCCATGTATCCTTTAGTACATGAAACCATGAGCATCTAATCATGTTAAGCCTCAGTATTACCAATGGCTCCTTTCTGTCCATCACAATTTCTCAAGAGGAGGAGAAATTCCTTAAGACACCTTCTAATAAACTGCCTRTGGTGTTCAGTGTAAAGTTAAAATTAGCAAGGAAATGTAGGTACCTGTTCTCGAAAGTGTTATTTTTTTGAGGATTCATGAAGTCAACAGGTTGGCTGAGCCCTAAATGTTTATTTTGTATCTGGAACTCGAGCATCTCTTAATTATTTGCATTGTGAACTTGTAATCTCTTTTTGCAGAGGAAAGTGCAAAACAGTTCCCAATTTAACTGTACCTTCTTCTGCCTGTTCTGTTGCTGGGCTTTGGAGCAAACATACTCAGAGGTGATGTGGTTCTTGGTCAAGTGTCTGAATCTGTTGCACACGTTATCTGCAGATGTTACTGTTAAGCTCGGTGTGTAATCTTTTCTCTTTCCATTTTACTGCAATGGACACCTGCTTAGGAGTTCTTGGGGATAAACTGCTACAAACTCAGTTTTGAGGCCAGTTCTAGTCCAGGGCTGTGACACACAGACACCAGGACAGACTGGCCACCTCCTTGTCATCACCACCATGTCTTGATCTTAGGTGTTCAGCTGCAGTTCCTCTTCAAATTTCCCTTTGTGGAAAGAAAGGGGATGTTTACAACCATCTGTGTAGTAAGAACCATGAGTATTTTCCAGCCCTCTACAAGAACATTTAAATTATGAAGGKTTTTTTTTCTGTTTTTTCTTTTTTTGGGGGGGAGGAGTGTTGTTTTTGTTTCTGTTAGCAACTTGTAGTGTAACCTGCAAGGTGAATTTGAGGTATACCCATGTAAAAATGTAATTTTTCTTTAACAGTTAGTTAGGAAAGCTTGGAAGTGTTTCATACTGTGACTTGTGACTTGCAAGTTTTGGTTTAACTGATGTCCTAGGTGAACTTTAATATGTGACTTTTTACGCTTAAAATGATGGATTTGTTATATAATAGTTTGCACAGATGTCAAATTTTTGCTGCTAACATCTAGTCCAATTGTTTTTAGTAAATGGGGATATGAAGAATTGCCTTAAGCACTTTAGATATTTTTTTAGACTGGTTTTTTTTTCTGAACTAGTGTCTCTCCAGCACCCACCATCATAGGAAGGTGAGTGACACCACACTGCTCGCAGTTATGCTTTTTGTTGCAGTTGGTGTGTGGTTTGTACCTGCAGCTGGACAGGGATGCCTGGAGCCTGTGGAGTTAGCTTTTCCTTTGTGAATCACTTTCAGGGATTGTAGTGGCTGTTCTTTGGCAGTGGATTWGACTTTTTAAGGTCTGTAGGTTTGCCCTGTAGTTGAATCCACCTGCCACGTGCTATTTACTATTAATTACTTTGGAGCTGATACTGCATGGTGGCTAATCAGGAGTTTTCTGCTCTATGACCAAAAGGAGATGCTTAATTATTTTTTTTTAACTACTGACTATTGGTATTTTAACTCCAAAGGCCTGACTTTAGAGGAACTGAAGGTTTTCCTTGAGTATTAATACATCAAATGAGCATAACTTTCATTGTCCTGTGGAAAACTATGAGGAGGGCTGTGGAAACTGCAGCTAGGGATRTCACTGTCAGATAGGATTATTAAAAAAGCCAACAAACAAACAAAAAAACATCCAGGGGATAAAAAAAAACTTCTGTAAATACCAAACAGCCAGGGCAGAGGTGGCAGGTTCATTTCCTAAAAATGCCAGAAAAGCAGACACTGCTTAGAGGCAGGCAGTGTGTGGCATAACACCACAGCACAGGTGTTTCCTCACCCCTCGCATGTTTCAGATGGAGACCGAGGGAACCACCTGAGAGCGTGTGGGGCTTGTCCGTGTTTTTATGTTGAGGACTCCGGGGTGTTGGATGGACGCTGACCGTGGCTTGTGTTGATGTCGTGTCCTAGCGTCGCTATTTTTGGGTGTCCTGTGGCAGGGGCAGCCTGGCCGTGGGTTTCCTTCGGAGCAGACCCCGGTGATCCCACAGTTCCCGGTGATCCCGGTAGTCGAGCATCCCTGCCCGGAGTCCCTCGGCATGAAGAAGGGTGTGAGGGGCCCGTCCGCGTGTGACGCGATGTTTTGTACTAATACAGAAATCTGGAACCCTGTGTCTCTCTCCTTTTGTCGTCTTAGCGCCGCTTTCCTTTGGGGGGATTTGGGGAGGTTCGGGGCGTCCTGGGGGTGGGCGGCGGAGACCTTTGTGAGGGGGTGTTTGCGACAGCGGGTAGGGCGCTTTACGACGGCTTGTCGGCGCTTTGCGGCGGCGCGGCAGCGCTTTCCGGCGTGAAGCCGCAGCGCGGTGAGGGCGGCCGGGCAGCGGCTCCCGGAGCGCCCCGGGGGCTGATGCAGAAAATCAACAGGAACGTGGTCCTGGCCCTCCTGTCGCTGACCAGCCTGGTTTTCCTGCTCTTCCAGCTGTGCTATTACAAGTTCTACCTGTCGCAAAAGGTAGGAGAAGGAGCGCGCTGGGTCTGGTGGCAGAGCGTCTGGCGCGGAGCGGTGTTTGCGCGTTAATCCCGCCCCCGGAATTCCCTGGAGAGGCTCGGAATTCCTTCAGGGTGGGCGTGGGGCGGGCAGGGAGCCCGGGCCGGTGTCTGGTGGCAGGGGTACAGTCGGGTTTGAGTTCCCAGCCTGGTATCCGAGTCACTGTGTCAGCCAGGGGCGTCCGATTTCTACCGGAGGGAATGATGCTCCCTCTATCTTTGAACCGCCACGGCTTTTAACCCTCTACTCTCGTTTCTCGGTGACTTTTACTGACCCCGAAATCGAACCGAGCGCTGTCTGAGGGCTCTGCTGCCTGCATGTTTTCCAGCACTGGTGGTGTGAAGAGGAATCCCAACTTTTTCTGCAGTCGTCTTAGCGCTTTGTGACTCAGTGCTCCTAATGTGCTGGACGTCACAGATTAAATCCTGCTTTTATAGCTGGAATGCACTTTGTACGTCTTTTTATACCTGACCTGGAAATGTTCAGCGAGTGATTTTCTGTAGCAGCAAAAGATGCGAATGTTACTGTAAATTAAATACTCTGGTGGCTTCATAGCTTACTGTTACAACTCCAATTCAACAAAGCAACTAGGTTTATTTTTGCAGAAGAACTGTGTAGGCTTCAAGTGTCTTGACTTGTTTTTTGGCTTTTCTTCCCTTATTAAATGCAGGCAGTGTCAGTACCATTTTTTCACACAGTTTCTGATTCRTAAACCACAAATGAAACATTCTTCTGAAAAGCCAAAAATGGAGCCAGAAGTTGCCTTGACTCTCTTATATGAATATGCTGTCTTTAAAATTGAATTGTTTAGGATTATACCTGGAAAGACTGAGGCATAGTCCTGCTGTCTTCCCCCTGTGGTATTTGCCTGACAGGATTTGTCATCCTCCTATTTTATGTTTACTGGCACATTGACTGGGAAACCTGAGGCCTCACCACATAATCCTTGCATGTCTGGAGGTCCCTGAGGCTTGTGTTGTCCTTCTAAATATACCAAACCAGAACAGTTGTTCATGATTTCACGTTCAATACTGTAGCTAAGTGACCAGAGGCATAACCAGAAAGTGGACAAATGTCATGTTAAGAAAGCAAGGATTCARCTGAAGCTTAGGGGTTTTTTTCTGTTCTCCCTCTTCCTCCCCTTCTTTTTGTTTTGTTTTTTGATAGAATGGAGCAGCTTTTTCCAAAGTCAGAGGAAGCCAGTCAAGCCAAGACAGCACTAGATGGGTATGTACAATGTCATGGGTTCATACAGCTCTTTCACAAGTCTCAGAGAGAGAACTCATTTGAAACTGCAAATTCAGGGTCYAGTTCTCAGCACTAGGTACTTCCTACTTTGAAGGGTGAAGAGATACACTTCTTAACTTTGCTCAGTAAAGAGAGTAACATCAATGTAAAGTAAAATTGAGAAGTTAGATCTTCACAACCTTTGCCRGCGCTTAGCAGCGTTGTTAATGTTTCAGGAAGCAACTCTTGTTCTTCTGAGAGAGATGCACGCTTTTGTGTCCTTTCAGGCATAGTATTGAACAGATTGTCTGGTTTGCCTTGGAGCTTCTTTGTTAGTCTGAGAAGGTCCTGGGTCACACAATCCTTCTTTGCCCACTCCRGGTGTTTTACCTGCTGCTCACTGTTCTGCATTACCTGCTTGTGCTAGGTTGTGAAGCTCTTCACAAGCAGGAAACTGTCACATTTCAGTGTTCACCAGCTGCTGTATTCCAGCCCTCGTGACCAGKGCTGGGAATGCCATTAGGTACTGGAAATGGGATATACTTGTGTCTTGTTTAAGGCTTGCAAGACTGAATGCAACCAGAACATCARCCCTGGGGAATTGGAAGCTCGGTTATCATATCTGTAGTTAGGATTTGTTTGGAAACAGTTTTACAGAAGACTTTTGTTAACTGATCTCCCAGTGGAAAAACAGCACAGATGGTTAAGGAGAAGGATGTGCTGGGAGCTGGCTGTCTTTCGATTTGGATGCAACATGATAATGTTGCTAATTAGCCGAATGGCCATTTAAAGGCCTGGTTTTTGCTGTGCAAGAGGGAAGGTGCTCTGGTTAAGAGCTGTCCCTGGAAATACTCCAAACCAGCTGCTCTATGGGCTGCGTGCTTGTGCCAGGAATGTCTTGCTGTTCTTGGAGGTGACACCCCTTGGAGCTGCCGAGCAGGTGTGAGGTGTCATGGTCAAAGGGGGCTTCCGGTCTGTGGGCAGAATTCTAATGTTTTAACTTGCTCTTCTGAGATTGTTAGTGATAAAGGATGCTCCATGATCCTGACAGRAACCCATTGTGCTCCAGGCTTTCCTCTGAGTCCCTGCAGTGAATGTGTCCAAAATACTAAATTTGAACACATTTTCTCATGACTTGACATCAAGGCCATCTCTTTCTACCATTATTTGTGGTTTTTTAACTTATTTGTGTTTCATTTGAAAGCATCTGTTTTTCGGAGAAGTGATGGTGTGGGCAAGTAGATACTTTTGCACAGGTTTTTTTCCTGTTTGTCAGTCTGGTGTTCCAGTTTTATTCACAGAAGTAATATGAGCAYATCACTTACTTTCCAAATAAGAGGGTGGCCTTGCTTCCGCCTGTACCACAGCAGGTAATGCTGCTGCCAAAACTCTGTTGTTGAACCACAACCTGGCCTGGTGTTTTCACATCTCTCTGAAGCCAGAGCTTTAAAATAATTAAATTTAAATGTTACAGCTGAATACATCTAAGTAGCAGGATGACTGTGACTGCTGTAAATGGCTTCTGTGTGCCATGGATGTTTAAATGTGTTTGATTAATGTTCTCCACTGAATCAAGTTAATAACTCCTTTTCTCAGGCACAGAATCTTCCTGCTACAGCTTTTAACCCCTTATGTAGCATTGAGTGCCCTGGGTAGAATCCAAGTTCTGTGTGGCACTTGATTCTACCTTCTCATTAAACTGTGGAAGTAAAGTATGCACTGGGAGCATGTACTGGGAGATAAGATTTCCTTCCTTCAGTGGGCTGGGTTTTCTTTCTGTCAAAGAGTTAATGCATTCACCTTTGTGTGCTTAAAGATGGTGTTTCCATYCTCTGTCAAACAGCACGTGGTTAGGAAGTTCCTAGGATTAATATCCAGTCACAATATTCCAGTGTATTTGATCGATCCTTTGATTCTGGGACTGGTTGATAAAGACATTGAGCAGATCAGAAGCTCTCCTGATGGCCCCAGCCCAGAATGCAAGTACTTCTGTGCTCGAAGAGACTTCACTACATTTGCACTACTGGACAAAACATGGAAACATGAAGTAAGTGCATGTTTTCAGTTCACATTTGGGTATTTTAATGCATTTCACTGTTCTTTGATGCTGTGATTTCATGTTTGTATCTTAATTCATGTGTTGGCAATATTTCAGGCAGGGGAGACTTTTTTTCTAAAGAAAAAGTTACCCGTTTACTAGCCTGGATACATTGAGAGTCATTTATAGCTAAAACTTTTTAGAAGCTATGGCCGTCTTCAAAAATCACTTGCAGTAAGAGTCCATGCCAAAAGGAAACAAAGAAGGTCTGTTAGGAAGAAGAAGAATCTTTATCCTGTAATGTAGGTTCGGCTGTTAAAAATCTGAAGTTTGGTGAGTTATAAAGAAGGAAATGCAGGTATTGATGTGACAAGTCTGGAAAAATTATTATTGTCTGCTGGTTTACATTTCTTTTAGCATATTGTTGTATTTAATACCATTTCATTTAATGTGCTGGTATCTCTGCTTCTGTGGTGTCAGGAGATTTTTAATGGCTGTATTAAAAATAGTGTTGTAGCATGTGATGAAGGACAAAATTGAATCCAAGACTGTTTCCTCAGTTAAGTGTAATATGGAAATGTTTATTAGATTAATTTGTACAATGTAAAGACACCAGTAAAGACACCAGTGGCAAACAGCTTTTTTTTTTTTTTTTTTCATTAGAAAAAGTAGGAGACACTGAAATGATCTGTGACTTCTTCACTGAAGAACTTGAGTGAAGAGGGGTGTCACTCTGGACCTGATCAGACAGTTATTTTACCCATAGATGTAAGGACTTAAAGAAATTGAGAATAAAGTTGTCTAGCAGCACAACTTTAATTAATCCCTTTCCCTGCTGTTTTGTGTCTCAAATCAGACAGAAGAGAAGCTAATACGCTTTTACAAAAATTTCAAGGGAAGCAGTTGAAAGGCTCTTCTGATACTGATTGTTTCTTTTTTTATAATCAGACAGAATTTAATTCCCTTTATTTGTGGAAATGTGAATGTTTTTCCCCTACAGCAGTGTTCACTGTTTAGTGACATTTTTATTTGCCCCACAAATTAAAAATTTGCAGTAATCATTTTTATGTTAGTGGTGGTGTTATTAAAGAGCTTAAGAACATCAAGTTAGGCAGAAGAATAATTTTAGARAATAGTTTGAGAATGCAGGATAGGATGCTATGGCAAGGAATAAACCTAATCCAAGCATAGCTTACAACTTTTTTTGTTTTGTTTTATTGTTTGAGGGACAAAATTTCAGACAAGGACAGAAGGTGTTTGGAATTACTTGTGCTTTCTGGTCTTCAAGCTCTTAGAAGTTTTYGATTCATTTGTGTTTAGATCAAAAATGTAAATGGGAGATGGTGTCAATTAATAATAAGCATTCAGCATTCAGTTTTGGTTTCTCTGATCTTTAGCCTGCTCAACCTCCTGCCTCTCTCATTTTCAGATGGGCCTTTTTAGAACTGCTGAGAAGATGGGGTTCCAATGGCTAAAGATTATCAACAAGGACCCTCGCTTGGATGGGATGGATGACCTGTCTGGCATGGAAATTCCCTTGCACTACATATTCAAACTGGCATCCCATGCCATTCACCTGGTGGTCTTCTATGAGAGGAGTGGCAATTTCCTCTGGCATGGACCCCTGAGACTCAAGCAACACATGGACAGAAAGTTTGTGCCTTTCCGGAAACTCCACTTTGGTCGCTACCCTGGAGCTTATGAAAAGTGAGTTCACAACAGGWGCAGGAAAAAGTCATCATGACACTCCCAAAATTATTTCTTTTCTCATATGTGTAAAACTACCCTCTTTCCTGAAGTGAGGTTGTAAAATTTAGCTCGTGTGATTTGGACTCTGAAGTGCAGGCTATGAGAATATAGTTTCTGAGAAAATAAGAAAGACATTGAGACATTTCACAGGTAAAAGTAAATCTGTTTAATCTTTTTTTCTTAATTTGACCCCATTCTTTCTTCCTTTTAAAATGTGAATCTGTGTGGGTTATGGGGGCTAAACGTTTGAAGTAAACTGTGTAAGCTGTTAAATAATCACACTTCAATCATTATGAAGGCTGAACAGTTTTTCATTTTTAGAAGCAAATAGCCTCAAAGTGCAGCGTAAAATTTGATTCTTAAGTGCACCCCATGCAATTTTCAAAAGCACTGGACAACATTTCTGAACAAATTCAAGTCATGAGTCAATAAAGCAATCAGTGATTTGATAAACTAACTTGGGGTTTGAAGGTATAGGAGTTCTTTTTAACAAAATTTTGTAATGAATGGGGAATTGGTTGAACCTCTTGTTGCATTTTTTTGTTTATGATTGGTTTTAACTGTATTTGGACAGAGGAATCACTGCCAGTAGTGTGYATTAAGATTTTAACTTCGGTTAAAGGAGAAAGAGCCACCTGGTTTGTGAAGGAATTAAATGGTGTAATGTATTATCTTTCTTTCCATGCAGGCCAGAACTTCTGCCTGTTTCCATTGATGACTTAAAAGTTCAAATTCCAAAAAATCCGTCCGGTTTTCTAGAGGAGATGTCCCACTCTAGATTTCTTGAATGTAGGTACAGAGAAGCTCGGGCTTTCTTTCAGGTTAGTGGTAACCAGGTGGTGTCTTTAAGATGAAATGTGTGTTTTGACTGATTGACCAAAAGCTAAGAACAATTCACTGGGTTATTTTAACTTGAATGAGACTGTTCACATGCACAAAGCTAAGTACAGCCCTTGATTCTCATTCCACAGAGCTTAGTAAGTGGTAATGAAAGCAAAACTTTACCTGAGATCATGGCCTTATTTTGCACTTGTGAGCAATATCTTTTTCAAGAGGGAACCAACACGTGCGTGGTTCTCACACTCCCTTACTGTTAAATAGATCTCATGTAAATAAAACTAAGATCTTGTGTCTCTTCATGGGTGAAAACTTTCCTTATGGCAGTCCTCAAAGTTTTGAGTAGTGTTTCATTTTACATTTTTTGAACCATGTCCTGTAGTTCCGTGTTCCTCATTTGGCCCATTTGAATTTGTTTATTCATTCCAAAGTGACTTATTTAATTGCTTTTCTGACTATGTAAGATAATGTTTTCACCACTACTTAGAGCACTATTTTTAGAATGTTGCTCCCTGATTCAGCAGATAGCAGGAAAGTCTCTGCTGCAATCTGGGAAGCATTTTGTCCTAACTTGAAAAGGACATGAGTTATAAAGTGACCAGTTCACAGTTAAGACTGAGGAGTCATAGTCAGGCCACTGAATCTGAGCCATCTATGGCTGAGGTTCATAGAAGGGGGAAAAAGGACCCTGGAGGCTCTACTTTTCATTCATTTAGATGTTGGGGAAAGAGAGGACCACTCTTGTTCAGTCTACTGGGCTGTAGATCCCTATTTGTGTAGCAGGAGGGTCACAAGGGCACTCGTGTTCTGGCCCTTCATGTGTGAAAGGCAGAAAAGTATGTTCCAGTTCAGCCTCCAGGCAGTAATCACCGCAGGCAGAGAAAATATGCCTCTAACTAAATGTTCATTGAACTTTACTGGAGCTTTAACACTGAGACAAGCAGCTGGTGCCTGTTTTGAAAGATTCATTTTAGCTGCTTGTTGTCCAAGAGCTTTTAATGAAATCCATAACGAAGCTGAGGGGTTGTTCCCTTGTTAGACTTGGTAATGTTTGCCCAGCCTGCCGTGTTGGTTTTGGCCTTGCATGAACAGCAGACCTGGCTGGAAGATTTTTGTGTACGCACCGTTTCTGCTCCTTGGCAATTTTCTTTAAAACTCAACACCCTGTTCTGACACTTGGTGGCGCCAAATAAATTAATCATGGAATTCTGGAGGTTGGAAAAGCTTTGATGTTCTGAAAGGGACTGATTCTGTCCCTGTGTTCCCCTTGGACTCCAGGAACTGACTTCAGCATGTGCAGAACAAGRGCTCACCTATGTTTCTGCCAAGTGCTGAGAATCAGTGTCTAATATGTATTTTCTTATTTTACTCTATTGTGAACTTGCATTCTGATGGTTTGGAAAAAAATGAAGGTTGATGATTCAGAGTTTTAATTTTAACTTGTCATTCCAGTACATGTTCTGAAAATGAACTGTGTATGTGAAAACAGGTATTGGTTAAGTAAATTTTTAAAGATCGTTTTCTCCTAGGGCACTGAGAAAAAGGAAGAGACAAGTTTGCTCTCTAACAGTAACTTGCTTACGCTTGCCTTCTAGCTGTATCCTGATGATGCCTCTCTTGATGCAGTGGAATTTAGGAAGAAAGCAAAATCCTTGCTTCATCTGGCTGCACTGACACTGAATAACTTGGGAGTAAAGTTCTGGCTGAGCAGTGGAACATGTCTTGGTAAAACATTTGTGTTGTCTTGCATTTTTAAACTCATCTGAAACCTTAAATGCTTCACTCTCCACTGCTCATGATGTAAGCAGGGGCCAAAAGTACTGGGTTGGAAGGTAATAATTGTTTTGAAATAGGCCTTTTTGTTTCTGAGAAAATGCTTTTTCCTTAGAAACCTGAGCCTTGGAGATGCTGGGCAAATTTCCAKTGGAGCATTTAGTGATGTTAGCAGTTAGCTGTGTTGTGTTCATCACTGCTAGRAAGTAACCAACAGTTCCCTAATTTGTGTGCCTTGGAATTTGACTGAAGGGCCAGTTGGAAAACACAGTGATGAGCACATATTTCTGCCATCCAAGTACCCTCTAACCCTCTTTTTCTTCCCATGCAATTTGATGCTTATCATTGTATTCTAAAATACAGTTTGCATTTTTTATTTTATTTTTTTAAACAAACTTAATAAAATGGCAGTCCATTAGAATAGATAATGCAAGTTTTCAGTTCTACTGAAGGTGGAAGTGGTGTCTTATCATTGGTGAGGATTATTTTGTTCTTGAAACAGTTTGTGAAAACTTGTGTGTGCTTGTTTGGCTTGTATTTATTTAATCCTAGAGAATAAAACTTTCTGAATGAACAGTTACTAAAAGCTGCYTTAATAAACCAGACAAAATGGTGTCCTACTTCTTGTCTTTCTGCTTTGGAGTGGTAATTGAAAGATGATTAACATCTTGGATGCTATGTAAAACAATAGATGGAAATCAGAAGCACAGCTGTGGCCCTGTAGCTGTTCATTTCTGATTAGATTTGGGCCCAGATAAGGAATTTTATTTTTTTATACAAGTGCATTTAAATTGGAAAACTGAAGATATTTTATCTTTGTTTTCTCTTTCATTCTCCTCTCTCTTCTGAGGGGAGAGAGATGACTGTAAGTTCAGTAATGCTTGTGTTTGATGTGAATTATTCTTACTAAAGAAAGGCAGAAGTCTCTTGTTTATGGCCTCAACCAAAGACGTCTGCACGGTGATATAAGGGAAGCTATTTTTTTTTTTGTTGCCTTTGTTCAGTTGAATTCATGTTCCTGAATTAACCAGTTTGGGATTTTTCTGTTTTATTTTCTTCCCCTCAACTCAGGCTGGTATAGACAGTGCAATATCATTCCTCACAGCAAAGATGTGGATTTAGGAATCTTTATAAGGGATTACAAAGCAGATATCATTCCAGCCTTCCAGAAAGCAGGGTTGCCACTGAAGCATAAATTTGGCAAGGTACATAAACTTTTCGTTCCATGTGTATCTTTCTGTGTGTGTAACTTTGAGTTCATTTGCAGAAATGTTTAAGAAGTTTAAAAATTGCAGAATTAGTGTGTTTTCTTCAGTTAGGAGTCAACCTGTGTTTCTGATTAAAATAAATTTGTATTCTGCTGACATAAGTTGCTTTGTTTTTTTTTATGTGTATACACAGTGTRTATTTTTGTCTTCCAGGTGGAAGACAGCTTGGAGCTTTCTTTCCAGGGAGAAGGTGATGTGAAACTTGATATATTTTTCTTCTATGAAGAGGATGACCACATATGGAATGGAGGAACTCAGGCCAAGTCAGGCAAGAAATTTAAGTAAGAGCTCCATTTGTACCACTAATAGGAAAGAAATTTAACAGGGTAGTGTTTAGTGATGGCACTTTGTATGCTGTTGCCTGGTAGAGTCTGTGTTGTTTGTGGAAAAGATGGATGTCAGAGGGGAATCAGTGGAGATTCTGCRCTCTGAAACCAGTGAAGCAGAGAGAGTACAGTCCTGTGCCTTACTGGAAAGTAAATGTCAGTTCTTCTGTGAAATCAAAAGAAGGGCTGGCATATTCTGTGTCAAGCAGATCTTGTCTGACTGTGACAGGCTCCCAGTTATATAAACATCCAAGATGAGAAAAGGTCTTCAAAACAGTGTTTATTGCACAAACTAATTTTGCAGTAGAAGATTAATCCTTAGGCATCAATCTCAATAGGTAAATATTATGGCAAAAAGCCTCAGCTCTCCTTGCACAGTAAAATCCACAATTTGGGATTTTGAGGTAACCATTTGGAATGCTTGGTTCACTGTAGTTGTGACAGCAATGCAGGTGATTCCTGCAGGCCTTACTGTTCACATTCTGGAAATGGAATTTTGAATTTCTTGTTTCATACCTTTCAGAATCAGTAAACAAACTTCCTGATTGACTCAGCAAACTGAATGTGGGTTTTGATAATTAGATTTATTTCTTTACATCACCCACCTTCACTCAGGAGTTGGCTGCAGACTGACTTCTATGCAATTTCATTGACTTTCATTATTTACCTGAAATGTATTTGTTTATATTTAGCTAACGGGAACTTAGTGAACACTGTCATCCAGTTGGAGATAATGTCCCAATCCTCGTCTTAGTTATCTTTGTTCTAAAGKGTTAGATAAAGATTGGGGAGGATACTTGGATGACCAGATTCAAAAGGCACATTTAGRAATAGACTAAACTAAGAGCTCTTGGAATATCCCCATGGAAAGAAAATATGCTGGGTTGCAGAATATTTTTTAGGATACAGCAGCAACTCCTGTTGTCTTGTGTGATGCATTCTGAAAAGCAAGCTGACCAATAAATTCCTTTCCTTTTCTTTGTGCTCCTGTTGCACCTAAATTGTAGTACCTGTTTCCATGCCAATGGTGTTGACATGCTCCTTCAAAATTCCACTGTAGCATCAAAGCTTGGATATTTGAGAGCTTTTTTTCACCCCTCCCTTTGATAATGACTGGTCCCAGGCATGAGAATAGGAGGTAAATGTGAACCTGTGCTGCATTCCAACTTCTGTAACTGTGGATATTATAGCTCTTTTGGAACTCCAGCTTGCAAAAAACTCTTTCCTTTTCTTGTAGCCTTGTAATTATTTGTGGTGGTAGCTTTTCAAAAGTTTCAAAATGGCTTTCTAGTTCAATAAGAACCAGATAATAACTTTGCTTGGGCATAGAATCATAAGGAAGCCAAGCCTCTAAATCTGAACTGGTGTTTCTTAGTCTTAGTTTAAAGCATACAGAAAAGGAGCAAGAAAGGGGCTTGTTTGCCATCATAAAGGCCCTGAGCCATGACAGAATGTTCAGCTGTTCAGAATCCTTAGCCAAGTAATTCCAGACATGTGTTATTCCAAATACATTCTCCGAAAGGGAAAAGAGATGCAGCTTTTGTTACTGTGAGATGTTGACAGCATTTGGCATSCTTGATATGAATGCCTGTAATGCCAGAATCACCCTCAGTTTTGCTCAGTCTTCAACCTTGTCAGAATTTTAGAGGAAAGCAAAAGTAAGGTCAGTGAGAGGAGACATGATTGTGTGGTCATGCTGAATCCTAAATCCACTCTAGCACTTTTAAAGCAGCTGATTGTGTAGTATCAGAAGAGATGTTGATTGCTACTAGATCATCACAGAGAAGGATAGAGATTCTCTTCTAAGATTAAAAGGTAAAAGAGACGTTTTCTTCAGATAGCTAATTATTTGCACAGGCATACTTTGTGTACATCTAGGTTAAAGTTTGGGGAACCAATGCATTTCTCACTGAGTCCCTAAAATATTTCTCGTGGTCATTTTTAGCCTCTGTTTCCTTGGAGAGCTGGTTTCTAACSCTCACAGTCTGGCTGTGTGGTTTGCATTTATGTGTAGACAAACACTTCCCCACGCATTGCTGACACAAGCATGTGCATCCTTCTGATCTTGTCTTGGAGTTACAGCATTTGTGTCCTCCCATTTGCAAAATAAATACTGAACAGTTGCATTCTCCAGCAGAGAATTAGTATCTACCAAAAACCGAGTCTGGGAATCAAATCCACACAGTTTGTTTTAATCCCTAAAAATGAGTTAATTCTGTTGGTATTTGACAAAGAGGATTCTGTGTAAGAGTTTAGTTTAATCAGTAGCCTCTGGATATGTATCCAAAAAATGCTTSATCACTTTGTTTTTTTCCCTCCATTTAAAACACAAAGCAAAACTCTTTTATCAATCTGTTTGCTCAGAGCTTAGAAATAAAATTAACTTTGTGCTTGCAAGAACAGGGAGAGGGCAGTTCTAGTTCATCATACTAATGCACAGACCTTTTTCAAAAAGACTAAATGCTTATGATTTAATTTTAACCTTTGAACAGGAATTTTAGGATCACTTTTTTATTTTTTGWGGAAATCTTCAGAATTTTAGAAGTGGGAGTGATCCTCTGCAGGAATAATAGGTAGACTTTGATATTGTTTAACACATGGACTCTGACAATTCTGTAGGATGTCATTCTGGTCAAAGTTAGGAATTTACCTATGAATTGCCAGTGCTGTAAGAATGTRTCACCCTGTTGACACATTTCTAAAAGAGGTAACTGCTAAATCCCGTTTSTAATTGGCAAACCAGAGGCAGGGACTAACCTATAGGTGGCAGAATGATATGAGCACGAGCTGCAAAAGAATTAGAAATGCTTCTTCCTAAGCACATGAGCCAAATGTTCACCACTTACTGTTGATAACGCCCTTCACCATTTTGTATGAGAAAAAACAGTATAAATGTAACATGCCCACTTGCTGTAGTTGCTTGCTTTCTCCTTGAACTTGCTTAGAGGAGTATTTCAGTTTTCTACCAGTGACCATACCCTTTTGTTCTGACACAGGTATCTCTTCCCCAAGTTCACTCTGTGCTGGACTGAATTTGTGGAGCTCAAGGTGCATGTGCCCTGTGAAACCCTGCAGTACGTGGAGGCCAACTAYGGCCCGGAGTGGAAGGTGCCTGTGAAGACGTGGGACTGGAAGAGCTCACCCTCCAATGTGCAGGACAACGGTGTGTGGCCTGTGGATGAGTGGGATGATGTCATCCAAATCTACTGACCCCTGGCTGCTGACAGAGCCTGTCCCCAGAACTGTCACACTGTGATTTCTCAGAGCCCAAAGGCATCAGCATCAYTCTCTGTGTGTTTCCTGAGGAGACATTTGCCTCCCTTTGCTTAACAGGTATTTTCTTCACCTTGATGATGCTTTTTTTCCAAGTGGTTAAAGGAGAAGATGAAAGGCAACTCGAGGGAAGGGAAGCTGAAAGAAAAGCTGCACAAAGGGAGTAGAGAGGAAATATTGCTGTGAACTTCTGGGCAGTTGACTGTTCAAATGTAAACAGTGRCCAGGTGGTTTCGACACTCCTGGGATCATCAAAACCTTTGGACTGTTAAATTCTCAAGCTTGASAGAGGGTTAGGATGGGAAAATCTCAGAGAAGTTCCTCTTTTTTCAAAGGAGATGGTGTGACTGCTTAACTTCAGAACACCAGAGTGTAGAGTACCTCAAATGTGCTTGTTTTGAGACTGAAACATCCCCACAATGTGCAACAGGTTGCTCTTGGGAGTGGAATGTTTATATTGCACAAAACCCCTGTGACCACCTGCTTTACATCTAGGAGGTGTCTGGTGATGGGCAACACTAAGTTAATGGAAGGAGAGACAATCCACACTGGACATTTTTTAATCTGCTCTTTTCTTTAAGAATGTGAAGATGCATGCTGCTGAGATGGTTTTGTCATGAAATGAAATAAAATCCTTGTTTTAATGTCCCAGTCCTTTTGTTCTCCCTGTAAAAGGTTTGACTGTATTTCAGAAAATAACAGCTATCCCTGCTTTCCTGCAAGTAGACAGAAATGGGGGTTATTCATAGTTTTCTGTTTCACAGAACAGAGGCCTCTCTCTAAGGGAAAGGAGAAATGTGTACAAATACCAACTGTTCGTCAAATTTGCAGCAGCAATCCTGCCAGTCCTCTCCGTTTCAGTTTCTCCTGCCACTGAAAGAGTGGAGTAAATGATTCAGCTTCTGGCAACAGCTTGTCAGGCTGGCTCTTCAGTTGGATGGTAAATTTCTTAGCCCTGCCTGGCTGAGAGAGATGTAAAATCCTGCTAACACCATTCACTTGCTTGAGTAACCATGACATCATAAGGGATAATTTCTCAGGTAGATTATTTTTTGTACGTTTTCCATAAAATGGGGGGAAAAAAGTGAAATGTCCTTATGGTTTTCATGTTCATAACTCTGTTGTCCTGAATTCCTTGGTGTAATAACACTCARTGAGCCTGTGAGTTTCTCAAATGTGGTATGTTTTCAAGAGTGAAAGAAAAGATGTTCTCAGAAAATTATAATCTGTCAAATTTTTGACTTTGTAGATGAAAAGACTAATAGGAAAAAATGCATGTCCCTGAAAGGGAGGATGTCTTGAACAGTTGATTATACCTGAAAGGTATTCTTAAGGTTAAAATGTTTTCTCTTCAGAATATACAAGTGTATATTTAACACTGATTAAAAGGAGAATCTAATTTGCAACTCAAGATGCTGTTTTATCCTTTGTTTTGTCATCTTGGGCAGCATTTAACACACTTCATTGCAGTTACCGTGACATAATGCACAGAAAAAACATCCTGAAATGTTTTTTACACTGCTTATTGACTGCACATCTTTGAGCTTTTATTTTTTTATTAAAGATACCTGGATACAACAAAGATACTAGGAATGAAAGCAGATGCCCACATATAGGAGAAAGGATCCTGCAGCAGCACAAAGAGATTACACTTTGCATGTCTCCTGTTGCCTCTGTGCTGTGCTCTGGCCACAGATTTCCTGGTTGGACACAGATTGGGTCTCAAGGAATGGTGTGAACATCATGGAACTGCTGCTTTTTGAAGACACATCATRCAGCTGAAGCATTACCATTCCCACAGAAACAACCAGGCTGAGGTGTGTTTTCCCATTAGGTTCTCCTGAGTTGCCTCATCTGAAATGGATTCTTAAATCTGTGTTACCTTCTTAACTCAATAACTGCCTTCATTTTGGAAGTGCTCTGGGAGGGGAGGGCAATTCCTAAATTCTCCTAATGGCCTTAAGCAACCACATGTGAAGTCCCTTGACTTTCCTGTAGAAATTTTTATGCAGCTTTTAAAGATAGGGAAGTGTTCAAAGCTCCAGAATAATGGCAAAAAGTATCGAAGAAATAGCACTGTCTGAAGAGAAGGGACCGTAAAAGGCCATTTTCAAGAGCCGTAAGAGATAGTTACAAAAAAAGRGAGGGATGTATGTGTGCTCCCTTTCCGTGGGTGGTAGGAAATATAAGTAAATTGGAGGAATGCAAATGGATCCAGCTGCCTAGCAACTGGAATATTTTACATGTGGAAATGTGTAAAACCTTTGACTTTGGGGGTCTCTGAGAACATATGAGGCAAATGCCAGCCAAGGCTGCTGTGGTTAAGGATTGATTGTAGTTAATCCTGTCTTCAGCTGGAGGGAGTTCCTATTTCCCATGATTCCCTTTTAGTTTTCCACAACTTTCTGCTTTTAGAAAGTGGAAGTTGGAATAATTGTGTATGGGCTTAAGAAAGGATCTTATTTCTAGCATCAGGCACTAGAACTCATGCTAGGAGTGATGGTGAATTGCCACTGGAAAGGAGAGAAAACTGCAGTGTCTTGGACACCTGAAGAAAATGTGTTTGCTTGCAGAAAAGGGGTAAATGCAGCTCTTCCAAAGAGGGCATGTCTGAACCAAACTGAGGCTGAAGAACAGTCATGGGATGGACAATGCTTGAGTGCACCGGGCAGGGAGGGTCTGAGGGAGATGCTGACGCTTTCCACCTGTCCAGGAGCAATATTCTGACAGAAGGGCCTGTGTATGTTCCACCGTGCTGCGTTTGTAGCCTCAGAAACAGCAGATGGGCAAAACTGGTGATACAGGYTGGGGAGAGTCCTAGAAGTACAGCTGAGTCTCTCTGCTGTCCAGATTAAAAAGGAGTAGCTGGTTTTGTTATACCCSGGAGAATCTGGGAGATGCTGGTTGCTGGTGTCAAACAGCCTTTCATCCTTTGCTGCTTTAGAATTCTCTGGAATTCTGGAACAAACTCTAAAATCTGTCAGCGCAAGAGAAAACCGGTCTCTTCTTTGCTCTGCCTGCTGTAATTGTGTGTTTTGCACAGATGAACAAGATGTTAAATGAGTAACATCTGTGTGACAACACARCACAGCTACCTTCCTTGCAAGGACTTGTCACAGTGCAGTGGCTCCCAGGGACACGACTCTGTCCTGTTTTACTCAGCAGCAGAATTCTCTGAGTTCACACAGCCCTTCAGGAAGTTCATAGGCAGCTGCCTCACTGCTCTGACATGTTTCCTTCCTCTCCACGARTTTCTATCATACTGTCATACTGTGTGTTGCAGAACACGAACAGGGAATTTGAGAAACAGCATGCCAGAGCATCAGTCTGTCTGGCACTTGTGTTCACTGCTCTACATCAGCTGCTCTGGTAAAGTGGCACTGCAGCAATTTACACCAGCTGATAATCTTGCTTAATAGCATTGTGTTTCCTCAGCTCAGCCAGTTCTGTTCCTTCCACTTCAGGCCCAGGATAAGCTAAGTGGCTCTCTTTGACATAAAGCAAATAATTACGGCGCCTTTTACCCAGCCACTTCTGTCAGAAAAGTCAAAACTCTTGAGTAAAGTAGCCTCTGCAAGGAGCTGCTGTTGAAGTGTGTGGCCTCTYTTTTTGAGCTGACATTAGCTCTTTTCATCACTGCCACTGTCCAGAGCTGTGTCTCAGGAGCCTGTTGAGGCAGCAGGAGCGTTTTCTGTTGAAAACTGTGTGTGTTTGTTCTTTGGGCGCCTGTAATCATCTCACATTGTCGGCATTCAGGCTCGGTTGCCTGTTGGTAACAACCTTTTCCAGCTGCACTGGAAGAGGGAATTCTGATCAAACATGAAAAGGGAGAGAAGTTTAAATAGGTAACAGCCGGTAAAGACAGGAACCAGGCCAGGTTGTTTGGTTTGGTTTTTTTTTTTTTTGTATTTTTCTTATAATTAATTATTTTATTTTGGGAAGGCAAAATACATTCGTATCATGCAGAATGGGTCCCTCCATGAGTGACCAGACTTTTTCTTTATTGTCATGGGGCAGTTAATTTTTTTCTCAGCAGCTGGTGTGTTGCTGTGGTTTTGGATTCAGTAGAAGAATAAATGTTGGTCACAACATGGACATCAATCTGTGAGTGGTGAGCAACTGTTCTGTACACAACTTTTCAGGTTTAATCTTTCTCATTATTATTGTTATTGTTATCAGCARTAWTAGTRTTTTACTTTGTTTTCAGTTATAGAACTGTTCTGATCTCAACCCATGAGTTTTTCCCTGATTCTCCTGCCCACCCCTCTGTGGGGATGAGATGTGAGTGGATTATTCCCTGTGCCCCCCCAGTTAAGGGATGCACGAGGTTCTTGTGCATGATTTGGAAGAAAAGGAGGCGATTTCCCGCTGAATATGCCTTCTGACATCTTCTGCAGCAGGTCAGTGTACCTCYGGCTCCTCCCAAGCTCACCTCTGTGAGCCAATCCAGTAGGTTGGAAAAGACATCTGAGATCATCAAGTACAACCTGTGACCGTTTCGCACCTTGTCAACAAGAACAGAGCAGTGAGTGCCACATCCAGCCTTTCTTTGGATGCCTCCAGAGACAGTAACTSCACCACCTCCCTGAGGTGCCCCTTCCAATGTCTGATTACCTTTTCTGTGAAGAAATTCCTGATGTCCAAACAAAATCTCCCTTGGCACAGGTTGTGGCCATTCCCTCTCCTCATGTCCCTGTTCYCTGGGAGCAGAGCCCGATCCCCCYGGCTGTCCCCTCCTGTCAGGGAGTTGTGCAGAGCCACAAGGTCCCCCCTGAGCCTCCTTTGCTCCAGGCTGAGCCCCTTTCCCAGCTCCCTCAGCCTCTCCTGGGGCTCCAGACCCTTCCCCAGCTCCGTTCCCTTCCCTGGATTTGTTGGTCTTTCTTGTGAGGAGCCCAGAACTGTCCCCAGCCCTCGAGGTGTGGCCTCAGCAGTGCCAGCACAGGGACGGTCACTGCCCTGCTCCTGCTGCCACCCCATGGCTGGGACAGTCCAGGGGCCATTGGCCTTCTGGGCCACCTGGGCACCCCTGGGCTCGTGTCCAGCTGCTGTCACCAGCACCGCCAGGGCCTTTCCCAGCTCCCCGAGCACCCAGCCCAGCCTGGAGCTGCAGAGTTGTTGTGACCCGAGGGCAGGGCCCAGCCCTTCCCCTGCTGTCCCTCACGCCATCGGCCTCAGGCCACGGTCCAGCCTGTCCAGACCCCCCTGCAGAGCCCTCCTGTCCCCAGCACATCCACACTCCCACCCAGCTCGGTGTCATCTACAAATCTGTTAATGGTGAACTCCATCCCCATATCCCAAATACACCTGGAAACACAGAACACCACCAGTGAAGGAGCTTGGGACCCACCTCYGTCAAAAATCCCAGCATTTGCTGCCTGCAGCTGCCTGTGATGATTTTCCTGCACTGCTGATGCCTTTAGCYCTTGGCTGTTTGCTGCAGCCACTTCTCTGGGTTAATGATGCCTCTGTAATGCATTTTTTGTTGTTTAATCAGAAAAAGTGYCATTTCTTTTCTTGCTGAAATAAAGCTGTTGCTGGGGTCAATGTGTTGAGACCTTCGTTAGCCTCTTCCTCACTGCTCTTTTACTGCAAGCAGCTGACAAAGTCAGGCAATTAATCCGCTGCCCCCCAGCCCTTCTCAGATCTGTAGCACAGTGGAGGTGTTCTAACCTCTGAGTAAAGGTCCCCAGCATCTCCTGTGAACAAGACAAGGARTTCCCTGTCCTTCCTTTGGCCACCAAATATTCCAGTCCCTCCCAGTATCGCTTCTGAGCTGCTCTGGTTGTTAACCAGTCCTCACTGGTATCTCATCTGGCAGGCTGGCATGAAGCCTGGAGATGGATACTCTGGATTTTAGCCAGACTGGTGACCAGGCTGCTGCATGTCCCATCTCACTTTTTGAGGCAAGAGGAACTTCCATTGAAGTGACACGAGGCTTTGACACTGGGGCCACATAAGCCTAGGTTTCACCTACAAATGGGCCTGAAAAGGAGGAACCTGTTTGAAATGGGGCTGATGCAGCTTTTGTGATGGTCACTGGTGTTAAGGCAGAGGGTTGGAGTCCTTGAAGGGTGTGAGAGAGAGCTGTACTTGGCTGTGGCACAAATTGTTRCGTTACTCCACAGCATTAGCAAGGACTGAGGTAGAAATGCAAAGCCCTACTAGGATCCTTTCTGCCTCGTTAATGTCTTTCTGCCAAAGAAAAAAAAAACCACCAAAAAAGTGTGTGCAGCAATGGCAGCTGGAAACAAGAGATGATACAGATTAAGTGACTTTGTAATTGTGCTGGCTGTCAAACCATGGAAGGCCTTGTGTGGTTAATTGTTTTTGTGTGGCTGCCTTTCCYTGGGACTCTTCATCCAGGGGTGACTGGGAAGGGATTTTCAGAATTTGAATTGTTTTGTGATGTCTGAATAATGCCCAGGGTMCATACAGAAATGGGCATCCACCACCTGGTAAGGCAGTGCTGTCCAAACAGAATGGCCTTGGTGTGTTCCCTGCAAATGCTGTAGGCGCTGGGAAAGAGAAGAGCGGGAAAGGGTGAGAATCAGAG